ATATCAATTTTCAGCTTTGAGAATTGCCATGCATTCTTGAATTCTCTACTGAGTGAATTCCCATTGCCTTCTCCACAGATGAATTCAGTTTTCTTTCCATTAGACTGAGTGCCACCCAAGGTTAGAGAGTCAAGCCTACCTTTTTATTTATTCATAAAGTTAAAATTCCAATAAAAATTAATGATACAAGAGTTTTGCATTATTAGAATGCATATAAAATCTTGTGACATCAACACTAGATTAAATGACATTTAAAAATTAATAAATGAAAAAGATTCATATTCTGATTTCTGAAATTAAGAGATTAAATATTTTTCATTCCCACATTTTTATTCTCAAGATATTTATACACACAACGAAAGTATAATGGTTAAAAAACAGTCTTAGTTAACAAGACAAAAAGCATGAGTAAGTAACAAAATGCAAACAAATGATATAATAAAAATATATAATATATACAAAAACTTCAAGTTTAATTTTGATAGGATGAATCAAATTATCCAAAAGGAATTAAAAAAAAAATTAATGCATTCTTATTTTGGTAGAATATATAAAATGAATTCTGAATAGTTCTCAGCCTAACTAAGAACTTTTTAAAAACTTCTAATATTTGATTGGATTTTATGAAGTGACTCAGTTTAAGAACTTTCCAGGAAAACTCATATGTCTATGTGCTATGCAAATTTTAGTATATGCTGCCACCTTCTATTATATATACATATAATTAACTATACTTTACTTACATCAGTTACTAATAGTTATGAGCTCTTTAATATGGTTGTTTTAAAAAATTATGGGAGCAACACTATATTGTATATTGATTCAACATTTTAAATTATTATAATTATAATTTAATATTGGGGTACAAATGCAAAAAATGTTGTGAGGGTAAGCAAATAACGTAAAATAAAAGTAAAAAATCCGTTAAAAATAAAAATAATCAAGGAGTCCAAGGGAGACAACTTTACACATATGAGGATCAAAAAGTGGAGGAAAAGAAAGAAAAAGAAAAGAGGAAGAAGAGAAAAAAGAGGAAAAATGGATAGAATTAAAGGTAGAATAAGAATAACATACATATAAAAATAAAAACATAAAAAAGTTATTTGATACAGTTGTATTAAAAAATTATGGGTCTTGTGGAAGCAATGTTATATTCTAAATTAAGTCAGTGTATAATATAAGTATAATCTAATATTGGGGGATACATGCAAAATTATAGAGTATGGTTAAACAATAAAGTATATAATGTAAAAATAAAAATGGGGATGCTGAATTAAGAAAGTTCCATTAAATATGAAGCTGATAATGGCCCAAGGGGGGGGTCACTTAAAAAACAGTGAGGGAAGAATAAAGATAGATAAAATAAAGGTGAAATAAAATTAATATGGATATGAAGTAAATATGGAGTTAAAATAAATAAAAAATTAATATAGAATTAAGAGGAGAAAGGTTATAAAAATATAAGAATATGGGGAAGAAGTTATAATAAAGAGAAGTGATATATAAGTGGGGAGGGGGGAGATTAAAAAAACAGGTCAGTGGGGGTAATTCTAATAATGGCTCAGTTAAAATGCTAACCAGAATCAAAATATTTGAGAAGAAAGTTTTTTCTATGAATGCATGTCGTCATAAGTTCATTCATTTGTTCAGCAGGCTGGGGTTATCAATATGTTTAAGAATGATACATTTTTCTCCCTTGCCACTAAAGGATTTGGTTTTAACAATGTAATCCCAATTTGCTAAACATGTGTAGTTATCCATTTTAATTTCCCAGAAGAATTTAGAGAGTGTCATGTTGTTGGAATATTGACTATTGATAAGTGTCATTTTATGTTGGTAATAGCAGGTTTTCCAGTGGTTTGAGTTGGAACAAAAATAAAATTTTGTTTTGCCATTATGTTTAATACTAGCTTTATAAACAATGCCTCTAGACATGCATTTAGAATTTAGCGAGCAGGTATTGTTTTTTTCTGTAATTACAATTTTCTTCAGTATAATCATTAGCATTGAGGTTGCTTAAATATTTGTTTAACATTATATTATTATGGTGCTATATATACTGTTCAAGGTTTTTAGTACAGCTATAGCTAACTTTAATGTTGTTTTTGTTGAAAATCATTTTCAGTATTGGTTGAATTGCTTATGGATTAAGTTAAGGAAAATTTTACTGATATTGTTTTGACACTTTGGTTAAGTGGTGGGTTGAACCAAATTATGTTGTGTTTTCTATGTTTATGCCTGTTTTAGTCAATTTTGTTTTTATCTAAGTATTCTAGTTTAATTTTATTTGCTTTTTTCTAAAACATCTACATATTTGGTTTTGTCTTTCTCAAAAATATCTCTATTGCTAGAGTTAGTTGAAAGTCTAAATTGTACTGATTTGTGCAAATTATTTAAAATTCCTGGGTGATGGTTAAATTCCCTGCTAATGTATCTATTCTTTAGTGAAAGGTTTGTATATTCCTTTGGATAAGTCAAAAGTAACATGCAGGAAGTTGATCACCTTGTCATTAGTGTTAATAGTAATACTTAATCAATGATTCTGGAAGAATTTGATCAATTTTTTCTAAGTCAGTCTGTTTGTTGTGGATTGGTATTACATAGGAGGATAATCCCATTATCTCTATATAGACCAGTATTGTTGTTATCAAATGTATACAAAATCACGTGTATGTATGATTGCTCATACTTCTTTATTTAATTCATATATATATATATATATATATATATATTATATATGTGTGTGTGTGTGTGTGTGTGTGTGTTTTTATTAATGAATATGAATTTTAACTCAACAATATTTGCTACCACAATATTTAGTGGATACACATGTTTGTAAATAAATAGGGTCATCTACTGAAGCATATGTACCCACTAAAATAATGTTCACAGTAATTATACATACACACAGACACACACACACACACACACATATATATATATATATATATATATATATATATATATATATATATATATGTATGTGACTGCCACATCTTACTCAGATGAGAGCTGACTTCTCACTCCCTCACATCACTTGTGATGGCTTTCTTTTTCTCTCAGTATCCATGGCCCTAAGATGACTCTTGCTGTGAAGGAACATTTTCTTTCCTTTACAATCACATCACATCACATCCAATACATGTATGTATGTTCTTTGGACTGTTCTCCTCTGAATTAAACTTTGAACTGAATGCATCCCACCATTCTTATATTTGGGATCAGTTTTTCAAAACTCCATTATTTGTTTCCTCCTGAACAAGAACTAGAAAAATATATGACTCACTCTTCTATAGCTGAGAAACCTCACTTTATCCAGATATAGAATGAGAAGAGAAAGAGAGGTCAATCAAGGTTTCCTTACTTAAAATCATCTGACCCTATTCAGGCAGAGACAAACAAATACCTTCTTGTATGTACACTGGTTGCTATATATATATATATATATATATATATAAAACATCTGGCCCAGTGTACATCAGCACATGATGTCTAATCACTTGGACAAGTGATTCATGACATGTACTTATTTGGTCTCATGATTAGTGACATGTAACCTCTTTATCTGGATATAGTAAATACCTGAGGGGAGTTGAAGTCCCTGCCTTGCATAGTTCATTACCACTTGAAATAAACAAATATCCCACCTTTGGAATGTGGAGGAGGTAATAAAGATGGGGTCATGTACAAATCTTACAGTTGCTTAACAGTGGAATGTCACTCTCAATTAGAGTAGCAAGTTCTCCATGTTTTAAAATGTCAAATTCCGTTTTCTTCCATAATGGTAAATTTCAATTTTCCATTTTTGTTTCAAAATCATATAAACATGTGAAAAACAGCCTTGTGTGTAAACAGTAAAATATACAAACATATAGCCTACTTATATAGGCATCTTTATATTTATTTTGTTTGCATTTCAGCGATTTCTGATGATCCACAAGCATGTCTCTTTGAGTTCAATCTATGGTGTGTTGACAAAAACTGCAAAAAGATTTATTGCCATCATGATAAAAATCATAACAGCTCTACATTTTGCTGTAAGTGTGCAGCCACCAAGTTTGTTAGTTTTTCATTTACTCATTGTGAAAGTTAATCAAACCAGCATTTAAAAAAGTTATTTAACTTTTATTTTTACTACCCTTGACAGTGTGTGCCAAACATATGCTGATATCGCAGATGGGTATTTGCCCCATGGTGACTGGTTTGACCAGGTTAATATCATGAATTAGGGTAGGGTGATTGTGCAGTACTGGGATCAGTAGTGGAAAATACTCCATGTTATTTATAGACTAACATGTTGCAGCAAAATAGGTTGTAGTGCTTGTGCATAATTGACTGACTTCACTGTGTATTGCAAATTTATGCAAAATAATGATTCTGTCAAGTTCCAGCTCAGGAATTTTATGTTTTACCATCAGACTACACAAAGTTTTGAAGCAATGACAGAGGATATGGCAGGCCTACTATGAAGTAGAAGTGAACTACATTTATGTTGATAATACAGTAAATAAGAAGTGAACTACATTTATGTTGATAATACAGTAAATAAGAAGTGAACTACATTTATGTTAATACAGTAAATTTAGAAATAAAATATGATATTTTTTTTTTCTCTCACTCTCTATTTTTTATTTTTTTTATTCAGATTTTATTTTTTAGTAACAAAAATCCTGTTTTCTATTTTCTACTTTATTTCCATGTTTTTTTCCATTTTCCATATCATGGAGAATTGCCATTCTACTCTCAATGACAAGGAGATAAATCTCTATAAATGAAACACAGAAACTTATAGTTCTAATTGTATGAAGCCAGTTGGAATGAAGTGTTTATTTGAGGATGATCTGATAGATAGTGCCATTATTCACTCACATCATTTTACTAGATATGACAAACACATACTTTGAACATGCAATCCATGACCCTCTTATTTTATTGAAACACTATCCAGATTCAATAGTATTTAGCATTAAAAAAAAATAAGAGAATACACTGCAGATAATTTAGGGATTGTATCTATAATTCATCTTGTATCTATGGGTCACCTGAAATAATTCAAATATATCTCCGTTGGGGGTCACAAGCAACACATGACATCTGATTTGGCAGATCAGCACAAAAAGAATCAGGTACTTACCCATTGATGATGTGGACGGCTTGGCCATCTCTTCATCTGAATCACTTGAAGACCCTTTGTCACTTCCAGCTAGTGCACTGGCAGCTGGTGTAGCGGCCACTGATTTCTTCTCATGCACTAACAATGTACGCATAATGTCATCACTGGATTCAATTTTGTCTGCAATGATATCTGCTTTGGAAGTGCTTGGTTGGAAGAACGTATCAAGCTAAAAAGAAAAAAATGACCAAGAGTCAAATATATTTTCTGCTTTATTAGTAATGAGAATTATGAATTTTATATATGCAAGTGCTTTGAACTGTCTGAGGATCACTTCATAGTGTAGAATATTCTTGAGTTCTATTCCCTCTGACCAGGAGTTTGGTTTAGTTATTGAATTCTCAGTCTAGGTTGTGGAGCAATTTGTGTCCTTTCAAGTTTAGATATGTTTCTTGTAGGTTTGTTATTTTTTTTTTTCTTTTGCTTGGGAGTGGTTTGTATAGGTTGTGTTTTTATTTTGGTTTTGTTTTTGTAAATTTAATAATTCCAAGTATATACAGGGTGCAATGGGTAAATTGTTGCCATTTTATATTTTTAATTTCGCTTATATGCATTATTTGTTTTTGAGTTTGTCAATTCCACTGCATAGTAGGGTCAGTTGGGCACTGTCTGTGAGAAAAAGAGCACCATGACACAATTCACTCTGACAGAAATTCGGAAACGGCATGCTGTACTTCTTGGCATTTGCGTCAGAAACTCCAATACAAACAATTCAGAGTGTTTGGATGTCAATCTGGGGACAGCGCAGAGGATACATGAAAAGTTGAATGACATATACAGTCAACATCAGAGTGTTTGGAGTGATGGCTACATTATGCCTCCATTTATCTTCCCACAGGACCTGAGAATCAACACAGAGGCCAAAATCAAGTGCTTTGAGGAGATAGTGCTGCCCTGGGTCAAGAGGGTGGCTTCTGGAAGACTATGTCTGGCAACAGGACTCTGCACCATGCCACACAAGCAGGAAAAACCAGTCATGGCTTTCACACAACTTCTGCAATCACATCACTCCTTACGTCTGACCACCTAATTCCCCTTATTGCACACCCCTTGATTATTATATGTGGGGTGCAGTTGAGCAAGAAACCAAAGAAACACAAAAGATGAACTGAAGGTAAGGATTACGGCAGCATTCACCAACAAGGAGAACGTCCAGATGAGTTGCAGGAGATTCCAAAGTCATCTGGAGGCTGTGGTTGAAGGCAATGTCGATTTTATTGAATAAATTTACTCTTTAGTATTTCAAGATATTTTTTGGACAACACTTGAAAATCATGATCTTCTAACAATGATGCTGCATTTGAAATGCCATACTTAAAAACAAAAGAAAATTTAGACACACAAAATTATTTTTAATTATTGTAAAGATTTTTGGTGTGATGATTTGTATTAAGCATTTCAATTTTTTCTTAGTAAATATAGTCTTCACTTAACTTAATAACTTCACTTTATCAATGTTTTGAAAAATTTTAAAACATTTTTGAAACTTTATAATTAAAAGAATGCAAACAATTCTTGTAAAAATTCATTATTCATCGAAATAAAATTTTCTTCAGACTATAATGTCAATATATATTATTTATAGAAGCAATCTAATTACATAGTTTTATTGCACTTTTATTTTACAATTTGGAGCAGATTTTGGTAAATATATCTGTTAAAATAACAATTTATCCATCGCACCCTCTATATATATATATATATATATATATATATATTTATGAATGAAAATGACAATAGGAAAACTGGTAATTGCTGACGCGTTTCGTCCAATGATAAAGTCCTATTGTCATTTTCATTCATAAATATTGTCTTCTCTACTGATTAAATCAGAGAAATTTTCATATATATATATATATATATATATATATATATATATATATATTTATTTATCTTATTTATATATTATATAGACACAGTACTTATTGGAAAGTGTTCAATATCAGGGATAGAGATAACATAATTAGTTGTGTTGATGTGAGTTTGTGACCCTGGGTTTCACGCCCTTTAACAATCACAAAGGGTGTGAAATCCAGGTTCACAAATTCACATCAACACAACTAAATAAGAGCTCAATATCAGAGAGACCATGTGTAAATATAAAAGCAGACACTGAGGTCAACATCAAGTAGTGACAGTCTGTTTCATGCTTGATCTGACAATTCACACCTTCTGCAATAGTATTAGTATGAAGTGAACCTGAAATCAATTACTTACTTTGCCAATTCTATTTTACATGCTGATAATCATTATGCATTCTTGTATAATGCCTCAAAACCTAAATGAGCAACCACTTATGTCTCATGACACACAGAGTAAAATTCTGACAAAGTGCAGTGAACACAGAAAATAAATGATTGAATGTGCAATAACAGAGAAAGTTGTTGATTGGTTGATTTTGTTTAGTGGCATATCAATCCCTATGGGTTATTTAATACTGAAATTTAAATATTTTGAACACAGTTGTATGTCTTCAACTACAGATAAAATGTATTGTTGGTCATTTTGGTATAATAATGTATTAATTTTACTATATATATATATATATATATATATATATATATATATATATATATAGGTATTATTGGTAATTCTTTTTATAGAAAATGTATTGCTGGTATTTTTATACTTTCATAGTGTTTTGTTTTTGTTTAGAGGTTCACTATTTGCCCATAGCCTGGACCCAAATAGATGCTACCACCCCAGATGAAGGTGGATCAGGGAACAACAGTAATTAAGAAGTAGTTCCATGCTCCTCAAAACCTCCAATCTCCTAAGCAGAGAAAGAGAAACACTGAGATGATGAAGTCACAGAACACATCAATTTGAGTTGAGGGTCCTAAAAAAATTTTAAATTTTCATAACAATGCATTTTGAATAATCTGTAAGTTTAAACTCATCATTGTGTCATCTTAGATGTTCCATTTTATGGCCTCTATCAAATGTACAATCTACACTGAATTGCATATTATTAGCCCCTTTCATATTTTATACATATATTTTTACAAAAATGTTCACTCAATACAAGGCTCAAGAGACACTCAAGGTAAAGGGTGACTGAATATGGTTTATGTATGGCCATAAGGAAGTATCTGCAGATTATGAGGATATGTAAGATAAATAATGGTTGGCCCTAGATTTGAAGAGGTTAAGATTGTAAAGATTAGAAAAGCATCCTCTTGGGAGTCTGTTCTACAAAGTAACAGTTCTGGGAAAGAAACTGAGTGAAACTTCCTTCTTACAATGGAATACAAAGAGAATGAGGATGATTCAATCCTGTATATGTGGCATGACAGGCCCTAGTTGTGAAGGTCTAAACTGGTGAAACTAAAGAATGTAACTTATCTAAACATTTGCCATGGAAATAGCAATAGGCCTAAATAATTACTGGAATCTAAAGGTTTATTTGCTGAATAATAGGAAAATCTCTCTGCACATTTAGGATGAAAGTCAATTTGTTTTACACAGATGAAATCAAGCAACTGCTATTCGTATGAAATACCCCGAATTTAAATGTCTTAAATAAACAGCCATGTTGCAAGTTTGAAGTTTTAAAATGGGTCATAAAGTGGATTTTATGGACAAAGAGAAATGCCTAATAATTTCAGAATTTAAGAAAGGTAAAACTCTGCTGAAAATTGCAAAAAATAGTTGGCAGGTACCACCAAAACTGAAGGATTTTGTTGAAGATCAGGGACAGCACCAGATCTAGGTTAAATAAGAGCAATAAAGGATTTCACTGTGTCAATCTGTGTCCCATTCCCAGAGAGAAGGTATGAAGAAAAAAAAAAGAAGCAATCTTTGTCAAGCTCTGAAACTTTTAGGTTTTGTGGCAGTGAAAAAGTGTTGAAAAGTATAAGATCTCAGATCTTAGCCATTATCACTCAGTGACTTCATTTGCTGTACAAAAAGTTTATCCTGCCATTGAAGGTGACTCTGATCCCTGAACAATAGCGTGTTTGAATTTCATAGTTGTGTTGTCATATCCTTCTATGGCAACAGAAAACAACTTTGAGTGAAATTAACAATAAGGATACTGTAAAAAAAAAAAAAAAAAAAATAAGGATACTGCATTAAATAAGAATGCAGTGAAAAGGGAAATAATATTAATAATGCAGAGTGCTAATGGTTAAATCAAATAGAAAACCATGTAAAATCAATCAATAGGTTTTAAAAGACATCCATAAACAAAATTGAAGAAAATGGGCAAAAGAAGGTATTAAAACCAATTTTTCAACTGTTCTTTTCTACTCTCATTATGCCAGACTAGTGGAGACACCATAGCCCTTTACCCTGTGATGAAAACCAGCATGCCAAACCCTGCCAAATGCCTTCAAGATATCTAAAGCCACAGCCAGAACTTTGCTGTTCATATCTAAAGCTTGACAGACACCTACAGTAATAACTGTTAAATGTAGAGCCATATTGTTTGTCTGAAAGAAGTCCCAGTGAGATGAGATGCTTAACAAATTCAGATTTGATTAGAGCTTCCAGTACTTTACCAAAAAGAAGTAGAAGACTAATAGGTCAATAGTTCAAAGAATCAAATGGTTCACCAGTATCCTTAAAAACAGAAACTACAAAAGGATTTCAAACATGCTGGAAAGCATAAGCAGCAAGACATTTGTTGTACAGTTTAGAGTGAATGGCTCCATCTATGAATTAAATAGAAAGGTATATGGGACTCTCTACCCTTAACTTACAACCAGTATAAGAATGACAATTCAGAATTCAAAACTGTGGATAAGACAACTGGAAACCATTCCACTATCTTTCCCAAAAAGTCATGTCAATTTGTAGATAATAAATAAGAGACATCTGCGGAGAGCCCTGATCGCCTATGTCCTGAAGAGAGATGGCATTTAAAAAAAAAAAAACATTTATTTACATTAAAAGAAAATGTTATGTGTTATGAAGCTATAAATTTTTGTTTTATTGATATCTTAATGAACCATTTAGCAATGCTAAGTAAATACAACAAGCATAAAGAAAAGACAAAGAATTATATCCACTTCCAAAGAGTAAGAGCAAATCCTGAAAACCTAAATAATAGCAGACCAATCCAAAATATATCTGCAGTGTGTTTTCTAACAAAAAAAAAAAAAAAAAAATGGAACATGCTTCTCACCTTGTCAAAACCAGAATTGCTTTTTTTATCTACTGTACTCTCTCTCATCCAAACAGGTTGTTCTTTCACTGGCTTTGTCTCTTTTGTGTTAGACTCATCATCAATGGTGACAGTCACTGTATTTTCCTCATAACCAAAGTTGATATTCCTTGTAGCTTCCCCACTCCACACTCCACTTCGTTCAGATGTGGATTTGTTAGCAATAGACCTGAACATGGAAAACAAACACAGCAAAATTATGACATGTAAAGTAAATCTTTGTTAATTGGGATACAATTGGAATAGAGCAGCTTGACTCAATTAAGTAATCGCCCCAAAAATAAAAAGCAACATTACATTAAAAAATTTAAACATTTTTCATTTTCAGTTAGTATGTAGCAGATAGAACAGAAATCATTTTCCCTGTTTAATCAGTTTTAAAAAACAAAACTAAAAACAATTTCAATAAATTTCATTTTTCCCACAATATAAAACATCTAGAATTTGGCAAAGAATATTTAATAAAAATATTAATAATATTCAACTAATAATTGTACATTTGGGCAGCAATCCCTCTTTTATACAAGTTTTGTTAAAAACGACTGACAGGATGATTTGGTTAAGTTTTTTTATATAATTTTTTATGTGTTCTTATAATTTTTTTCTTTTCAGGTCATAAATTATATAAGGTATAGGAATGTTTTATTTTCCAAATGCAGTCAACACATTGTGGCCATGTTCATAGTTGATATTACTGAGTGTTGGCTTTTACTTTTTTATTAATAATATTTCCATTATTTTTAGGCTTTTTTTTTACATGTGGATAAGGCTATTATATTTCTATTATCAGTAAGTAGTATGTTGCAGATAGAGTTTGGTAGGTCTCCATATGTATTTAAATGAGATCCAATTGAGCTATGGTCAGAGGGATGTAACGTGGGTCTTGTTAAGCATATTGTAGTATACCCAAGATAATTATTTACAAATTTGGATTAGTCAGGAACACAGTTCCTTAAGGGATATGTGAATTCATAAATAATATTAGTTCTCTGTAACTTGGATCTTGCAGGTGAATTATTATTTTTGACAATGAAGTGAGCAGTTTTTAATTTTTTATACTAGATAATTAATAACTCTTTGATAATACAAATATAATACCACCATACACATGTAAAAAAAAGGCAATTTTTATATAATTTATGTCCTGAAAAGAAAATAATTGTAAGAACACATGGAAAATTACTTGTATGCAGGTCATTAGCAGAACTGAAGTGTCGCATACGACACAAACATAAAAACTGAATGAGGTTGTTGGATCCTCATACATTGAAATTGACGAGAGAGTTCATCATATATGATAAAATATAGTTTTAAGGTAAGCTATATTTATGGGTTAAAGTGCTTAATATAAGGAATAGAGTGTATGTAAATATAAAAGTGGACATTGAAGTCAAAACCTAGTGTCAACAGTCTGTTTCATGCATATAACCAATCATCAGATATGTATCTATATGGCCGGACAATTGCATATAAGAATGAAACAGACTGTTGCCGCCAGGTGTTGACTTTAATGCCCACTTTTAAGCATATATACATACATACATGCATACACACACACACACACACACACACACACACACATATTACATACATGGGGTGTATCAAAAATACTTTTACAAACTTTGGGGATGATTTCCTCACACCAAAACAAGGACAAAGTCCATATAAATATATGTTTGCAAATCCATAATTTTGAGCTATTAATTTTATGGTAGATGCTTTCAGATGTACAATCCAAGATTATTTTTTTTATCCTGTAGGGTCATAGTGGCACCAGGTGTACTGCAGCCACAGTAGAAGTGGTGTTTCTTGGGCAAGATAGTCTGACAGAGTTTAACCCTCCCCCGGACGGTTTTGAATTCAGAGTTTTTCCTTTTCCTAGACTGGTTACCACCCAGTCAGTCCTGCTATTTACCCATAGCTGGAGGGAGAAGGAGAGTTCATACCTTTCCCAAGGGTATTAGCACGTAAGCGAATGTAATGGATCTGACTGGAATTCAAACTCAGCTCTCTGATTCCTCAATCCGAGCCACTATCCATTACTCCACCGTGCCTTCTCACAATCCAAGATACAACCCCAAAATACTTTTACAGGGATTCTACTGTAAACTTTCTTTAAACTTAATAACTCAAAAACGAAGGATTTACAGACATCTGTTTATATGGACTTTTGTCCTTGTTTTAGTGTGAGGAACCAAAGTTTGTAAAAGTATTTTTGAGAAACCTTTTATATATAATGACTTAACATTATCAGCATTTATAATCATGTCTATTTCATTCTGGATTCCTCGGTGGACATGTATATCAAACATGGGTGTTGAGGTGTTAATATCTTGTTGGTAACCCAACCATGAATTTGTAAGATTCAGGGTGATTTCTGAAGGATATTTTTTTTATTTGAAGTACACCTTATACAGTAAGAAATACAGTGTACTTAACACAAAAAAATTAATCAGGTTAAAGCTGATTTATTCCAAAATGATAATTTTCTTGGAATGTTATAACTTTGTGTGTGTGTGTGTGTGTGTATGTATGTATGTGTGGGTTGGAATTTTGTATGCAATAAATGATATATGTATCTATACACTAAAAGATCAGACACTACCTGATTAAGTAGTCAATAGGTATTTTTGTTTGTTCATGCTGGCTCAATTAAAGGATTTGGTAGTATCGATAAGCAAAGAAAATTATCACAAATATACTATGATTAGTATTTTTAATTTTAGTTGCTTTTCACACCATCAAGTTAACAACAATTAGTAAACAGCACAGATCAAATATATTTTTTTAATTTTACCAAAGATCCTAATCTGATTGAGCTGCAAGAGCCTTACAGTTAGCAGGTCACAGCTAACCATATAAACTTAATCCTTATCCCCTCCACAAATTACATGGTGCTGTATTTAATGTTGTTTTATATATATATATATATATATATATATATATATATATATAGAGAGAGAGAGAGAGAGAGAGAGAGAAAGAGAGTTTCCCATAAAAATGCATACACACTTCAGGAAAGGAAAAACTTGTCTTACATAGTGTTATCAAATTGCGATAACACTGTTTACTGTAGTATTTTCTCAACAGATGGTATTACTGTCATGGCTGTAGCATCAACAAATCCTAATAAGGTTGTACATCACAGAAAACCAACTATATTGGCAGCCCTTAGACAAGAAATTGAAAATGCATGTGCAGCAATCGCAGTAGTTCACCATAATGTCAGGAAGCTAGAGACCACCATTTTGAGCATCTGTTGGAATTTAATTTGAGAACAATATTTTACAAGTTCACATTCTCGCTATTTTTTCTATCCTCACTCCAACCTCTTTTTACTCCCAAAGCCTTGATTCTTATCAGAGATAAGAATATATTTTCTGACTAATGAGATAGCTGGAAAATATAAAAAAAAGGAATCCCACCACCATTATTCTTTCCATGGTGCCATAAAGTCTGGGGGAAACCTCACAGCTTGTTCACTCCAACCTGTTTTCATTACTTTCAAAACTGACTCCCAAAGCCCTGATTCTTATCAGAGATAAGATTGTGATTTCTGACCAATAGAGTGTCCAGGAAATTTGTACAACGATTTTGGAGGGAAAAGTCCCTGATCCTTCTGAGCCTATAAATTTGGAGAATCTATGCCTATTTCACAGTGAGAATTTCAATCACTGTCTGTGAGGTCGACAATAGGAAGCACCAGTCAACTTCAGAACCACTTTCAACCAAAGAAGAGCTACCTACTAAAGGGCTGTCAAGAATGAACATCAGCCCACAATTCAAGACCAATTCAAAGCTGCATCCCTTCCTCACTCCTTCTGATGAGCCCACTGGACTTCTGTTGTCAACCTACGAACTCACTCAACTGCAAGATTCCTATATCTATCAACATTTTCCTACTCTACAAGAACTGCGAGTGATTCTAAACCTTAATAAAATTCTACTCACTTAAAGAACTTTTTAGGCACTCAGAGAAATATTTTGAGCAAGCCTTTTTTCTGTCATGAACATTTTCTCTTCCCTTAAAGGACATTTTCTCTTTTCCCTTTCTTTCACTCTTAATTGTCTTTATCCCTTTACCCTTTTTTTTCTGTATATGTAAATAAACACTTTCTTCTTTTATTGTTATACACCAAGCAGGAGTTTTTTCTTTATTCGTCTGCACCTAAAAGAGAGAGCTTGTCCGCTCTAATCTTGCTGTTTTTTACTTGCATTTTGTCGCAATTTTTTAACCTAAACCCTTTGATGCAGGAAAGCCAGGATAAACTTTCCCCGCACATCTCTTGTGATTTTAAAGTCCAAAGGTAACTTGTATTAATCTCATGATATCTGAATAAATTTAGTATTACAATATCTATTCAAGTCCTTTCTTTCCTGAAGTGTGTATACATTTTTTGGCAGGCTCTCTCTATATATATATATATATATATATATATATAAAGTTTCATCAAAAAACAACTGACAAGGTACTGTGGTTATGTTTTTATTTAATTCTTCTTGTGTTCTTCTTAATTTTCTTCTTTTCTGAACATAAATCATGTAGAAATTGTTTGAATGTCCTGTATGTCAGAGCGCTTTTAGCCATGATCAAAGATGATTTTATTTTTACTTTTAACTGAATGTATGGATTATCAGTTGTTTATAAAGAAACTTATATAAAAGAGTGATTGCTGCCCAAATACACAATTATATACATATATATTATATACATATATACACATTGAGGTTTGTGTTGAAGATTCATTTGTAACAGTTCAAGGCTAGTGTTTGTGATGGTTTGCAAAAACTTTTAAAGCAAGACTTTAAATAATTTTTTTCATTAATCTTCAGTCTATAAAATGCAACACATATAATAAGCTACTAGCAGATGTAAGCAAAAATGAAAGCTGATGGAAGCGAGAGAATGGATCAATGAAAATATTATTAAACAGAAACATTATCAAAGAAAGTTTGAACAATCAAAAATAATTGACTGAAAAGCTAGAGACATGTTCTTTCTTCTAAAATATATGTAAGGGCTGTTGTAAGGGTGTAGAATAAAAGCAGGCATGGTTAAGCAAAATTGACAAAATTCTCAAACAATAATAAGACAAAGAAAAAAAAAAGAACATTGCAAAATAAGACAAACAATATCTATTTAATACAAGTCAAAAGCAAAGCAACTATCTCCTTCTATGTGCTGTGTCCCTTCATAACATTGGCAATCATAGCTCTCTATGATTTCCTGTCCTTTGCAGCTCTTAATAAATTTTGTCTTTTTGCTATCTCTCCTAAACCTTGCACTTCTATCATTGCTTGCTAAGTAAGTTATACATTGTTTTTCTCTGTCCCTCTTGCCTTCAATCTGTCCTGTGAGTATCAGATTTTCCAATCTCTATTTCCTCATTATGTACCCTGGAAATTTAAACTTTCTCTTCCTGATGTAAAGTATAAGTGCCCTTTTCAATTCTATTTTCTCTAAAACTTTGTCGTTGCTCACATGTTCAGTCCATCATATTCTCAGCATCCTTCTGTAGAAGGACATTTCTGTTGTTTCAAGTCTCTTCTTTATGATTGAGGTGATTGTCCGGTATTCACTGCCATGTATGAGGACTAATATTACATGATAGTGACAGTACTCTTTCCTTTGTTTCTAACAAAAACAGTAAATAAAGTAAAAAGTTCACAAAATAGAAATAATGTTCACACACAAAAGGGATACAGACAAGTGGCTATACCCTCCTGACTTTAACCTTTAACATACGGGAGGTGATTTTGCTTGCAAAGCAAAAATTTTATCCTGCCACTGCAAATTTGAAGTGCAGTTTTATTTTTTAATAACTAAGAGTTATTCAGCATCCCTTGAAAATGAAACTGAACTTCAAACTTTAAGTTCAATTTAAAATTTAGGTTTTGGTTTCAAAACATGATAATTTCTGTGTCGCAATGAATACATATTTAGATAGTGATTTTCCAAGCATAAGATGTAGCACAAGGCCGAAAGTAGGGGCACCCAGTGAGGATCGAACTCACTATTCAGTCGTAATTGTTCTAGCGAAACAAGCTTGCTAACTATTACACCACCTCGACGTGCTTAATATTATATATCTTACTTATTATAAAACGCAGATTTTGTGTGTGCGTGTGTGTGTGTGTGTCTGTAACGTTTATATATTGGATCGGATTTCCTACATTTTTCAACCGATTTCAACAAAACTTCACAGGACTACATAAAATTACCTTGTGGTGGTTCTAACAGCGCCAAAAATGGGAAAAATATAATTGTTTTTGCACAAAATCAATTTGAAAACACGATTAAGAGACATCGTGAAAATGGAAGGGGACAACTCACATCGGGTTGTTTGTGTGTGGGTTCCTTTAAATATGGGAGCGGATTTCCTATATTTTTCAGCTGATAAAACAAAACTTCACTTTTTTTTTTTTTTTGGCAGGTAGTGTTTCTTATTCTCTTGCACACTTTTTTCTTTATTTTTAACATTCAGAATGCTTTAAAAATTCCATTTACAAGACAATCATTTATAATAAAATTCTATTCAATCGAGAAACTCATAGCGATTGAAAACAATGTTTTGTTTGAGTTTGTGTTTGACCAATTCGTAAAAAAAAAAAAAAAAACTAATTAAGACATGCATGTCCGTCAACCTTAAACAATAATCTAACGATCTCTACTGATTGTACAAATACAAACATCGGATAAATTCTTTATCTTTAGGGAAAGATAGTGAAATCTAAACATACACAAGTCCTAACTAAAAATAATAACCGAAACAGGAAACTACTTTAAATAAACATGGTGTCCAATTTTTTTACTGTATTCAATAAGTAAAAATCATAAATTGTAAAAGATTATTATGAATAAGATTTGTTAGATCATAATTAATAAACCCAAATAAAGTTAATATTTTTTGTATTAGAAACAACGAGTGGAAAATATATTCAAATCAGAATTCTAATTATGAATCACCACAAGCAAAATATGCAATTTTTTTTACTGTATTCAATAAGTAAAAATCATAAATTGTAAAACTAAAAGATTAAAGAAAGGCTACCTAAATTTTTCAACTGATTTCAACAAAACTTCACTTTTTTTTTTTTTGGCATGTAGTGTTTCTTATTGTCTTGCACACTTTTTTCTTTATTTTTACATTCAGAATGCTTTAAAAATTCCATTTACAAGACAAATGTTTATAATAAAATTCTATTCAATCAGTAGAGACTCATAACTATTGAAAACAACGTTTTTGTTTGAGTTTGGGTTTGACCAATTCGTAAAAAAAAAAAAAAAAAACTAATTAAGACATGCGTGTCCGTCAACCTTAAACAATAATCTTTGTCAATTTTATTTTTCAGTCTTTATGATGGTGAATACTTGATCTATCTCTTACTGTTACATCCCCGGGCAACGCCGGGCTCTACTGCTAGTATATATATATATATATATAAATTATTATTTAAAAATACGTATTCATCTCAACACAGAAATTACCATATTTCGAAACCAGAACCTAAATCTTAAACTGAACTTAAAGTTTGAAGTTCAGTTTCATTTATCACTTAAAGATGAAACTGAACTTCAAATTTTAAATTTAATTTAAGATTTAGGTTTTGAAACATGTTAATTTCTGTGTCACCATGAATACATATTTTTAAATAATAAATCAATATAAGTAAAAGGTTTGCCACTTAGCTGTTTGATGTTACCTTCAGCATCCTGACTCCAGAGTTTTATAGACAGACCCATCTGTTCACTTGTCAGTGGTATCAGCAATTATGCACTCACTCTCTCATACACATACACACACACACATATATATATATATAATATTCACAAAGAAATAAAAATAAATAACAATACTTACTTTTGTCCAATTAATTTCAAATCAACTGGTTCAGGTTCTAGAATTTCTGGAGCAAGTCTCACGTCTTCACAGTCTTTGAGCAAGTCATAGATTGGTTGAATTTGTTCATTGAATCTTGCCAACAATGTCCTTGCATCCTTCTTAGGCATAGCACTCTCATCCTCTTCCACCTCCACCTGGCAAATCATGCACCTCAATTCCCCAGTAAAAGGATCAAGCAATTGTCCAGCTTCAAGATCAGTGTATGTCTTAAAGCAGTTTGGACACTTGAATGATGAACGGCTTGTGCTCTGCCGTTCAGCTGTTTCAATTTTACGCCGGACATGGTCCAGTTTGTACTTGACTACATTAACAAACACCTTATAGTTTATAAAGTAATAGTTATGTCTTGTAGTGTGACCCTCTGTATCTGTTTCAACACGCATTCGCATCTTAATGAATTTGTCACTCTTCAGTGTGTTCAACATTGAACGCATTTGTTTGCGCTCAAATTTCAACAAGTCAAGCATATCATCCTCTTTCATACAAGGGTGCCGAACAAGAATATCCAAGATAATTGCATGCTCCATGCTGTAAAATCCACGGGCAATGAGGCGGACAAGCCTCTTCAAGGACTCAGGTACTTCAGTCAGAACTTCAACATCCATGATTCAGTTTAAGAAAAGAAATTCTGAAATTTAAAATTAAAAAAACATATATATTTTCTGTTTAATATGATCTGAAATATATATATATATATATATATATATATATATATACACACACAGACAGGGTGCGATGGATAAATTGTTATCTAAATTAAACCAAAGTGAATATAGCACTGACATTTCATTTTAACAGATATATTTACCAAAATTACACAAAAATATCTTGAAATACTAAAGAGTAAATTTATTCAATAAAATCACCATTGCCCTCACCACAGCCTCCGGATGACTTTGAAATCTCTTGCAACTCTTCTGGACAGTATCCTTGTTTAAGTTGGTGAATGCTGCCATAATCCTTTCCTTCAGTTCATCTTTTGTGTTACAAGGAGTTTAGTTGGTCTCTTGCTCAACTGCACTCCATACATAATAATCAAGGCTGGGGAGTTAGGTGGCCAGATGTAAGGGGTAATGTGGTTGCAGAAATTGTCTGACAGCCATGACTGTGTTCTCCTGCTTTTGTGACATGATACAGTGTTCTGTTGCCAGATATACAGTCTTCCAGCAGCCATCCTCTTGTCCCAGAGTAGCACTATCTTCTCAAGGCACTTGATGTAGGTCTCCGCGTTGAGTCTGAGGCCCCATAGGAAGATGAATGGAGGCATAACATCACCATCAGTAGTGATCACTCCAAACACCTTTGTTAATCACCATTAAACTCATCCAACTCTTTCTGAATACTCTGCACTGTCCTCAGATTGACATCCAAACACTCTGAAATGTTCGTATTGGAGCTTCTGGCATGAATGCCAAGAAGTACAGCATGCCATTTCCAAATTTCTGGCAGGGTGAATTGCGTCATGGTGCTCTTTTTTTTTACACAGACAGTGCCCAACTGACCCTACTATACTGTGCAGTCAACAAAATCAAAAACAAACAATGCAAATGCACGAAATTAAAAATATAAAATGGCGACAATTTACCAATCGCACCCTGTACATAGCTTTCTTGGGCAAGACATGTATGAGGATGAAATATATATAAAGAGCAGAAATTGCTTATTGTGATTCCTTTCAGACAGAAAACAATAACTGGCTTTATCTTAGATTAAGCCAAGGATATAAAAACTGAAACAATTTATAGCGTTGTAAATTAATTATTACCTTATTAAACTCATAAAAATTTGCCACATATAATCACAAATAAAAAAAAAAAGGATTTCTCTTGACACCACTATTACTGCATATTTCCTTAGCAATTTTTAGTTTTAAAACATTATTTTTAAAATTTTGATCAAACCCAAACATATGAAAATGAATGTAAGCATTCTCTTTTTCTCAAGAATTGACAACAAAATATTTAATACTATTCTTGTTAAGTGTTTAACATTTTTTCTTGTTCTCAGACATTTTTATAAATTTAAGAATAAAAAATTTGTTTTCATAGTTATTTCTTTTTAATATGGTAAATAATAAATATTGCATTGTAGTTGGTTAAAATATTTTTATAAACTTGCAAATATAAAATTTTTCTTGCAAATAAACAATCTAATAAGGTAAATAGTGTTTAATTCTTTTGTTGTCAATTCGGTTTTATTAAAATTCAAAAATTACCTTTTTAAAACAATGAAATTGCTCAGGGAGTAAACAATAATAGTGGTACGACGAGAAAATCTGTCCTTGTAAGACATCTTTTTTTGCAGCTTCCTATGTTGAACTTAGCCTTAAATTCATTGTTATAAACAACTTTATGTCATAAAAATATTTGGAACTTCATAATGAATGGATAATTTTTAATAAATTTTAAATAAACTGTTTTTTATAAAATGGTTTGAATTTCAAAGTTTCAATAGCGTTGGGTTAAGTGCATTGACAAAGAAAGAGGATAGGTTGAAAAGTAATTATTTATGTAAAATAAATACTTTTTTCATCATATATATGTGTGTGTGTGTGTGTGTGTGTGTGTGTATACAGACATACACCCTTGTGTAAATCAATTGAAACAAAATGAAAAATTCCATTATTATTTACTTTTTTTTTGTATTTTTCCAATGAAACATACTCCAGTACACATGTTAGTACTTTGTATGTCCATTCCATGAAGTCATTTCTTGCAGATTGGCCACAGATTCTTGATTGGATTTAAATCAGGAGAGCTTCAAACCAGTCTACAGTACTTTGATTTACTCACTGTTAAGGTTTGCCAGTGTGATTGTGCAGCGTTACAATGTTCATATGCTTCCTTGTCTGGGCATGATGAAAATCTGATGCAATCAAAGATGATGCAATATTTTTCAAGACCAAATAAATTGCATTATACACCTCGAAAATGGATTCATATTACTCCACACTACTGCAAATAATCTAATCTGAGGAAAAATAGAAATTAATAACACCCTGTCACTCCAGTGGGCCTAAAACTGACCATAAGGCAAAAGAAAGGAAACTAAAGTTGTTGTTTCAATTAATTTGCACAAGGGTGTACACACACACACAGAGTAGAAGCCACTTATTGTGATCACTTTGGAACAGGCTTTTTAGGTAACAACTGTCAGATAACATATAAAAACTGGAACAATTTACATTGCTATAATTGGTTAAGTTAGGTTAGTTAATTTAATAACAAATCTATGCTTGTTTTGTGTTGTTTATTGTTGACTAGAAATCTTAAAGATAAAAAATAACAATGAATTAATAAATGGGCAAACATATGTCTAGTTTACACAAGTAAGAACTGTGGATATTGGTTGGGTTTATATCCAAGTCTGCAAGTATCCACCCAGAAGGTGGTCTCTTTTGGAGAATCCTTACCCCTCTGCAAGAGGATGCAGTCAGCATATTCTCAGAGCCACCAACAGGGTAACTTATAATTGTTACCTTTATTAAATTCATTGTCATAAACAACTTTATGTTATTAAAAAAAATACCAGGAATTTTGATTATAATGATAATATTAATTCTATTTACAATAAAGGACTTTGTTTAGTTAATTTCTTTTCTTTTTTTTTTCAACATTGTTAGGAATAAAACAGTACTTGTGATAATCCATTTAATTTCCCCTTATATTGACACTGTCTTTTTTTTTTCTATGTAATAAAATCTAAGATCCTTAAAAGCTTTATGAAGAGTCAGCTAATTGTTCAAGATATTTAAGGGTAATAAATTAACTTATTAACCATGACAGGAACAACTCAATCATCAGTTTCTAAATGTGGCAATAGTGTAAATTTTCAGGAGAATGAATGAAACGATTTTTTTATTTTATTATTATTAAAAGAAAAGGCCTTCTTTATTTTGACAACATTTTAATAAAAGGTTTTAAAAAGAAATCTAAAAGAAGGATTTCTTTTTCTTCCAAATAAGTAACCCTTGTGCTTATGAAGTATTTAGTGCATGTATTTGTTTATTAAATAAACAATCAATGATGACCTTACAAAATATCTTCTTCACAAATCAGATAAAAAAAACTAAGCTGAGTATATTCACAAAGTTCTGCATCAGTAATAACTAATTGTTGAACTGAGAGAGGAGGAAAAATTGGAAATTACTATTTTTCACTATAATATTCAGTTTCTCTTATAGATATTCATCACTGGATTAAGTAAACTGACAAAGAAGATTATGTTGAAAAATAAATATATCATACAAAAATGTTTATTTTTATTTATTTTATCATTAGGCTATGGATGTATTGATGCACCTTATCAAAATATCAAAGTTGAAAACGATAAGATTAAATATCACAACACACATACAGAAGACCAGCCAAACTTTTAAGTACAAAAACAAATATGGTTATTTTATATTTATTGAGTGATATTGATTGAAACTCACTGATTATTTAAAAGAGTATAAAAGAAAGAAATAAAGAAAGAAACAAAAATATTAAAATAACTTCATAACACAATTTTTTTTAAAAGTTGATTAACAAACTGTTTCTTTCATTACACTGGTTGAAACTATATTTTGAAAACTTGAGCATTTCCTGATATAGAGTTTTTTTATTGGATTACTAATGCAGACAAAAAAAGAGAGAATTTTAGAAAGGAATAAAAATATGTATTTATATATATATATATATATATACGACAAAGATTACACAAAAAAAATGATGCATGTAGAAAAAATTTTAACACAAAAATGTATGTAGCTTCCAGGCAATGATTGGTTTAAAGAAAGAGTAACTCATTTGAAATTGAGAGCTTTACCTTCTCTTAGAGTTGTTGTCATCCAAGAGCCCAGTCGACCCTAACATTTATCCCATAGCTAGGGAAAGTGAGAAGAGATGGATTCATGCCTTTTCCAAGGGCATTAGTGCAAAATTGAATGCAACATACAAGTCTGGAATTTGAACTCAGTTCATCAAATCCTCTTTTGGTGCCAACAACCATTACACTACTTGCACATATGAATTAACCTGTACAAAACATTTAAAACAATAGGTCTAAAGACAAATTCACTAAAAATAATGGCCAGCTACTCATTTCTGAGAACACCCATCTGCTAAGGTAGCTAGCCAATCCCTGTTGCAGACACCTACTCTGACAGATTTGTGTTAGTTCAATACCAACAGAACCCACCTGTAGTTTATACTACAACTATGCTGAGCAGACCTTAGTTACAGTTTCTGGAAGAGAGCACACAATTTGGCATGATCAGCAGTTTGAATAAGGCCAGTAGACTCAAACACTCAGTCACAATGACTTGTGACTTCATACAAGCATAACCATCAGCAGCTTCCAAACAGCTACAGAGACCCAAATTTACTTACAAGGCCCAAGTCAATGCATAGTATGGTTTTCAAAGGATCATCTTTTCAGGCCAATAACATAAAGAAGTCAAGTTCTGGATCAATCAATCATGGTGAGATTCTAACCTGGGCATCATGGTTGGAAAGTGAAGATTCTAAGCACTTGGCCACACACTCATCCAAAATAAATTAATCTAGTACGAATTATAATTTAACAAAGAGATGACATAAGTTAGACTGATCAGAAAGGAAGACAGTTGTTACTCCTTCAAATATTGAAGCTTTAAGCTCCTCAAGTTCTATTTTTAATATTGACTAAGTCTTCGGTAGGGAGAATCAACTTTGTGTGTCATGGTTTCCAAGGCTCTCACCAGTGACGAGTTCACCTGAGAAACAGTAATTACAGTAAGTTTTGACCAGCTGCAGGCTAAATCTTCACACATGACTGAAATATTGGCAGTATATCCATGGTGAAGATCATCCAGCATCGCTGGGCAGAGGGTTTCCTCAACTGAAGTCAGTAGTTGGGGCAGAGGGTTTCTCCAATCAAATCAACAGCTATGTGTCCTAACCAAGGGAAGCCTTCAAGTTGCAGGACATTGAATGTAGTCTAACCTGGAGAGGTATGTGCTGTGGCAAGTTTACTTTATCCAAGCCACACAGTAAATGTAAACCTCGAAAGACATGTGGAGGAAGCTGTTTATGTTCTCAGCCCAACAACCCTAAAACCACACCTAGTCATGGGACTGATGATCATGTGTGTGTGTGATACTAAAAAGTTTTCATAGAAACTGTACACAACAGTGCTAAATTTCGACATTTGACATTGCTAAATCAAAAGAGAAATATCTGTAGTTTTAAGAATTTGCCGATAAATGTCGCGTTTCAGGTTTCTGACAAATGCTCAGTCCATCACTATTGCAGACTACGCTCTAAAATTCTATGTTCAGAAATGAAATCGATTTTTCCACGTTACTTTTCCTTTCACAAAGAAATGAATTTTATACAAAACAAACAATGAATTTGTTAATGATACATAGTGATTGAGAACTAAAATGAAGGCGAAAACATTTTTATTTGCAGTTACACAACTATAGTCCTGTAAGTGAAAAAAAAAACGTAACGGTTTGCTTTAAAACAGAACTTAAAGACACATCTCTAGTGATCATCAGTCTTCTTATTTTATGTGTAAAATTTACATTAGAATATACGTTATCCAAATGACAACACTAAAAGACAAATAAAAAACCTGCAATATAGAGTTATGGATCAATGTCCGTAAAAACATAACGCATGGTTGAATTATTTTTTTTTAATTTTTCACTTATTCGATTCCTCTTTCTTTAGATACTCATCACTGAATTAAGTAAATTGACAAGGAAGGAGACTGTGTTGAAAAATAAATATCTGTTATAAGAAGAATGTTTATTTTTATTTCTTTATTTTATCATTAGAAATCGGACATGCGCCTTATTAAAATACCGTTGCTGAAAACGACAAGTATCGCTACCCACGTGCCGAACGATCGGCCAAACTTTTAAGTACGAAAATAAATATGGCTATTAGTATTTTATATTTATTAAGTGAAAACTCGATTATTTAAAAGAGTACAAAAGAAAGAAAAGAAATCAAAATAACTTTATAAGGTGGTTTTTAAGTGTTGATTAATAAACTGTTTCTTTCGTTATTGATCGAAACTAGATTTTGAAACTCAGGCATTTCTTAATAGTGGATTAATGCAAACGAAAAAAGAGAAGAGAATTTTTAAAAAAGAAAGAAAAATATGCATTTTTTTCTATATGAAAAAGATTACACCAAAAAAATGGATAAATTTTTTTAACAGTAACATGATTTGATTTTTAAGGATTTAAAAGTTTTTAACACAAAAATAAAAAAAAAAAAAAAACATGTAGCACCACATTACATTTTTAGACGATTTGAATAATTTATTATTTTTAGCCTGATTTTTTTTTAATTTTTCAATTCTATCTTGAGGGTAAATTTTACGTTAGAGGAAAACCAACCAAAAAAGGATAGGAAGTACAGTTGTAAAAGATGCCATGCCACATAAATACGGTTCTGGAAGCCGGGTATCAAATAATTTCTAGATTTTTGACATATACAACAAAAGAAGTTAAAAATGGATACATCGAAATATATATAAGTAGACTTGAAATCAGAAACTTACAAAAGTTCACTACTTTTCATTCATAAAATGTAAAGCGTTACCAGGAGCAGTACACAAGTCGTAAACAAAACATTCGCAGATCGCGCCATTAGCTTCCGGTTCATGAGGTTATAGGTAAAATGCGAATTGAAACTTAAACGGAACGGATCATTAGAAAAATAAAATAAAATAAAATAAAGCAGACGGGTATTTTTAATGTGAAGTAGATAGATAACAATTTTTAAAACTCCAGTCTTAGTTTTACTAATTTTTTATTAATGAACTTTTCTGAGAATGAAGATCTCACTCACATGAGTATTTTTATTTTATTTTTCCAATACAAAACAAACGCGACTCAATGTATTTTTCGTCGTAATCTTTTACAAAAAAAAAGTTTGTGTACCCCTTCAAACTGCGCACATCAGGTCATGCTGATTAAACTACACGTCCAATGGAAACGTGTTGTTTGCGGGAAGGAGGGAGTTGACTTTTTCAGAAAATAATTTTTAAATTTAACAGTAACACTGAATCTTGGAACGCACGAAACAGGTTGAATATTCTCAACATACACAACAGATTTATTATTATTACCAATAATGACTGATACGTACAATGACAATAAAAGCTGTGAATGGTAGATTGGTAGACTAACCAAAAAGCTTACTACATGAAGATTTTTAAATTACATGAACCCCTCTGTATGTACAATAAAGTTTTACGTTATGCTCTTGTTTGATAAACTCGATACATCGTAGGAAAGTAATATCAGTTTGGTTGGAAGATCAAACGTGGCTCATTCATTTGAGCTTAAATCAACAAATATGTATTATTTAATCTGACCATTATGAAATTATACTTTATAATTGTTGCTAAACGTACCTCCAACTTTAAACACTAATAAAAAGTAAAAATGTACGACACATTCTTTCCGGTCTGATAGCTAAGTTAATCTTTTTAAAAGTTTTACGAAACTGTGTACAGATGACAGTTGGGAAAAAAAAAAGTTTTTCTAGCTTTGCTTAAAAAGTTATTAAGGGGAGATTACTCTATTGTCTTAACAATATTTACCAAATTGTATACGCGTTGTCGTCATGATAGAGAACATTTTAAATGGCAAAGAGCAATCTAAAATTGTTCTCATTCAAGGTAAAATCAGTTGTTTTTTTTTTGTAACTTACGTTGCACCTTTATTAATTCTCTCTTATTGACATTCCATTATTGCTTATCTCTTTTATTTTTTTGACCAAATGACACGGACATTTCGCAATATCTCGTTTGATATTTTCAGATCATAGCCTCTCTTTATTTAGAATTCTATGTCTATCTTATGAAAGAAAACTCTAGAAGAATTATAATGAGTTAAATGCACCGGGCACACGATCCTGGAGGTAGACAACGACTTGAATAAACACTTAGGTAAAAATTAAAAATTGATAAACGAACGTTAATTACAATGGCGGAAAAAATTTATTAATTTAAAGAAAAAAAAAACGAAGAATGACTAACAACTTCTATTTTTCTATATGCTTGACAATCATGGCTCTCTACAATTACCTGTCTTTTATAGCCTTTGTCTTTTTGTTATCTCTCCTAAGCAGTGTTCTATCCATTTTTACACAAGCAAGTTTGTTAGCTAATGAATGCGTTGTTTCTTCTCTAAATGTTAAGTATAAGTTTCCATTTTTCTCTAAAATTTCGTCGTTGCTTACATGTTTGGTCCATGATATTCACAGCATCCTCTGCTGAATCGGATTTCTGTTGTTTCAGATCTCTTCTTCATCTGTGAGAAGATTGTCCAGCATTCACTGCCATATAGGAGGACTGCAGTTCACTACTCTTTTTGTTTCTAACGAAATTTTCCTGTTTCATAATACTTTGCTTAGCTTTTGGAAGTCACCTTTCTCTATGCCAATACGTCTTTCTTTGGATTTCACTGTCGCACCTTCCGTCCTCTAAAACATTTCCCAGATATTTAAATTGTGCTTATTTGATTTTGGTATCTCCAATTCGTAATTTGCATATTGGGCTGTTCCTTTTGCTAAACAACCATGCATTCTGCCATATTTATTCCTTTCTTCACTGCCTTCTGTAAAAGTTATAGTTGCCTTTCTGTGGGTGCTATCAACACTGTGTCATCTGTATATGTCATATTGTTAAGATTTTGGTTGCTAATAAATCCTGGTAGGACTTCTAATTCTCTCAGAATTGCCTGACTGCATATAGGTTGAATAAGTCCAGTGAGAAGACACATCCTTGTCTTCCACTCCTTTCTATTTTTGTATATTTACTGAATTCATTTTCTATTCATATGCAGGCAATTTGCTACCAGTCTATGTTCTGGATAATTCTAATATCCTTCCTAAATATGTCAATGTTACCTAGCAATTCCAACAGTTCTTTACCTTGTATTTTATCAAACACTTATGCATGATGTATAAAACATAGGTATACATCATTTTGCTCTTTCTGATATCATTCTGAGCATAAATATTGCATTCCTTGTTCCAGTGTTTTTAACGAACTTCCACTGCTCTTGTCCTATTTCTTTAACAAAAGAGCTATTTTTATTAAATATTGATGTGTGTGAAAAATTTTTAAAAATGGAAAGTTTGAGTCCTTTTCACATCAGAAATATTTTTAAAAGAATTTTTTTACTCTTATTATTTCTACTAATATTAGATTATTTAAAGGTAAGGAAGATCAAGCAGGAAACAATTCAGAATAGGCTAACCTCAAACATTTCATGACTTTTATGGCTGAAAGAAAGCAAAGTGAAGGCAATCAATAAACAGTATCAATTCAATAGGTTTTCATCAATTTTCCCCAGTTTGCTTTTTTTTATAGCATCACTTTCTTTTGTTTAATAATTTTTCTTAAAATAATTAAAAAGACCTGGTTTGGTGCATTAACGATTTCATAACATCAAATAACTAAATAAAATAAACAGAATAAATGCCAAAGGGTTAAAAGAAAACAAAGAATAGATGCAATGGATAAAAAAAAAAAAATATTACTTTTTATTATTAAAAAAATCTTTTAATTTTCCTATAAATATAAAATATATTTTAAGTTTCATAAAGAAAATTTATTTATAGAATAAAAAATTATATTCCCACCTTATTGGTGATAGAAAGTTAAATTTTTTTTTCTTAAAACAATTTCTGTATTTTGGTAGTTTGGGGCTTTCCTATTTAATTAGATTTGAGGCGAGTTTTTTTTTTATTTTGTGTGTGTGTGTAAAAGTGGGAGGTTCTATTGTTTGATCTATAAACTTCTTGACAGAATACATCTTGCTGCATTCAATTTTTTTTTTTTTAATACATTTTAAATGTACAAGGATATTTTTCAATAATTCTATTAATTAATCATTAACTTTACTAGTTTTCTTTAGAACTAATATATGGGGATAGATATTTGATTTTTAACATGTCCTAAATTTTCCGTCATCATTTTTCAATTAAAATGTTGGATTGATGATAAATTGACCATAAGAACATTTTAAAAATGTTTTAAAGCCTTAACAAAATCTTTTTTTTTAATCATTTCACCTCAAGCAAGGTGACAATGCCACTAGAATGCAAGGTGTTTACAGGGAGAGAATATGAATGAGAAGATTGAAAATGGGGAGGATTGAGGAAAGAGCAAAAAGGAATAGGCTCCAAGAAGACAGATGTCAATTTATGTTGCATTTAAATTTTTGAAGACTGTAGTTATCAGGGAAGGAAGAAATCAGAAGAGTTCCACTGGCGGGGAATGCAAGAAAAAAAAACTTGTTAGAGTAGAAATGATGGTTGCATCTAACTCATTCAACAGTGAAGTGATGAAACCTAGTTGCCAATTCAGTAGCATGTTTAAATTCATGTAGCAGAAAAAAGAAACTCATCTGAGCAAATACCATGAAAATTTGTCAACAAGCAGGAAGCCATGTCACATCAGTTAGAAAGTGATTGGAAACAAGATGCCTGGTGGTCAGAATAGACTGTATTGCAGACCCTTCTCTGTATTTTTTTTTTTAAGAATATCAAGATGCACCGTAGGAGCACCAGACAAGATATGGTAATCGTATTAAATACACAGACAAATGGTAATTTATAAATGTGCAAGATTGATTCTGCTGAGAAAAAATTAAAGGCACAACACAATAGACATAGCAAGTGATTTGTTATAGTCACTTCACTTCATGTCCATGGAAAAAGAAGGCATAGAATGTTGTTCTCCCGGAGTTCAGCTTCAGCCATCCTGATGGTAGGCAAAAAAATGTTCTCTGTGGTGACTAAATGAAAGCAGTTTTGTTTTGGCGGTATTGAAATTTACAAGCCATTTCTTACCCCAGTTAACCACTGATTGGAGATAATTTCTCTTTTTATAGATTAATTTTAGGCTATTATCGTTCAAATAGCACCAAAATTTTACTGAAAAGGAAACATTTAAATTATTTTAAATTTATTTTTATTTATTTTTTTAAGCTCAGATTTTGGTTATACCTATGTTAAGCCTGGTTGCAATTAACAATAAACATTTTAATGTAGAAACAGTAGTTCAGTTATGGTGATTAAGTTGTTCAATGTAATTTAAAATGTACTTATCAAAATATTGTTGAGATTGCATCACCATTTTAGTTAATTAGGATTATTCCATATACTCAACTATTTTAGTTTTATTCAAGTTTCTGTTTACCTCAAAGACTGTGTATGTGGTAGTCAAGCCTAAGGCTGTTTCAAAGTACAGGCTCTAAATATGCCCTATCTTTGTTTACTAACTTACATTTCATAAAAATAGAGGAAAACCTGGTCTGGCCCACTCAGGATGTTGAGACTTGTAGCAACCAGGATGCAAAAACAGAAGTTGATGTGGCTGGAATACAAGTGAGGAAAATTGTTTTTTTGCACAGGAAGATCACTTATGACTTCTGAGTAGAAAATAACAAAAAGAATTAAACTATGTTGAACTCTTTAACTCGATGAGACAACATTCCTCCACTAAATGTGTTATTTCCATGTTCTCTCTTATTTTTGATCCCATATTTCTGAATTTTCCCAACTCTACCTCCAGCAGTATCTATTTTTAGTGAACACTTGAAAAAGACTTTCTTTCCATTTTCAGTACACTATAAAGAAAATAATTTTTACTCATCTGAGTGAAATAGATTAATAACATGAAATATATTTTATTTCATAGTCTATTTGGATATCTGCTTGTATCAATATCTGTATTTGAAAAATATAAAAATGAAAATCTAATATCTTGTTGTGCCTTTTTAAATATGGTTTTGTGTCATTATTTGAATAAGCCGTGCCTTTGTAACACCAGCAGTCTTTATAACTGGTTCTCTTTTGGTACCCCTTTTGATACTACACTTAAACTTTTAACTCCCAACTGGCAGCTGCTGAGAGAGGCGATCAACTATAGACTTTATCATCATATTCAAAGAAAATATCTTTCAAAATTTTACCCTGGCCAATAGAATTTTTGAAGATTTTAGGTAGATCAATGAAATTGATCACAATTACATATATATCACTCTGTTTATAAGCCTACCATTGGTCTGTGCATCAATGCTATCATATTTGGTCTAATGCTTCTGATATATATTAAAAGATTTTTGACAAACTCAAAAGAAACATCTAATGTTATCAGAATTTTCAGCTATTATGATGGATGGGTTCTTTTCTCGAGAAGGCTCTTTGCCTTGAATGTCTATTGGGACTCAAGTTCTCCCTAGACTTCAAGTGAAAACAAGGGATAAGCTTCTACTTCTGTTCAAAAGACCAGGGAGGAGTGTGAACTGGATGATAAGCAAATCTATCTATCTACTATTGAGCAAAAAAAACATTGCCATGTGTGATTGTGCTATTTTAACAAATTTCTTATACTTAACTCAAACTGTCAATGATTGCATATGTAGACAACCTTATTCATGCAAGAAAGCAGTGACCTTTTTGACTGCAAGGAGATTAGTAAAATGTCACTTAGTTCTGTTGAGGATTTGGAATGTGAAATATAACTTTATACCTGTTGGGGCACCTCGAGGCAGTGTAATGGTTAGCAAGCTTGACTTGCTAGAACAATTACGACTGAGTAGTGAGTTCGATCCTCACTGGGTGCCCCCTAATTTCGGCCTTGTGCCACATCTAAGCTATGCTTGGAAAATCACTATAACTTTATACCTGTGTATTTCAAGCATTTTGTATTCATTTTTTGACTTAAGTTGTATTTATAATAACCACTTAAAATATTTTTTAAAACTTTTTTTTTTTTCACTCAGATACAATTGAAGAATCAGGTTATCCTCTAGCAACATGCTGCCTCAAGTCTTTATCAAACAGGTAAGCTTTACAGTTTTAAATGGTTATTTAATATAAATGTGGATACAGAAATTGTTAACAGTGATCATTTGAGGTGTTTCACAAATTATCTATTCCATTTCTAGATATGGCCTAGGTATGACAATAAACTACATCTGTCAGAAAGTCTTCTGTGGAACCACCTCTTAATTGCTATTGTTCCCAGGTCCACCCTGACCCGGGGTGGTAGCACTTTGAAAGTATAAAAATAATAATTTTATAGTAAAAATATTAGCAATACATTTTTATGTTAAAAAAATAACCAAAACTATATATTTATAGTAGCAAAATGACCAACAATACATTTTATCTGTACTTGAAGGAATACAATTGCATTCAAAAATATATTTAGTTGAAATCATAAAAGGTGTTTTATAATCATAATTTTTTTTGTCTTCTTTTTCATTAGGTTTGACCAGATACACTTGCTGTGTTTTGATATATCCCCACAAACTTTCAAAAAGGTTTTGCCTGAAGAAACTCTTTCACAGTAAGTTCTTATACTTTCTGGTTTTAACCTTTATCACTTTGCAGTATTTTATCCATTGAGTATAAGTGGCCAGACAAATGCAGTAGCATCATCTTTTGATTTTCAGTTAGTCATTCTCCTGTTGTCATAGTAGGATATGACAATACTCAAACAAAATTCAACCATACTATTGTTTTGATGATCAGAGTTGCATGTATTGGCTGTGCAGACATTTTGTTTCACAAATGAAGTTACCTACATACAGAGTGCTGATGGTTAAACAATTCTTTTCCTTTTATTTTTCATTTCTCCATTAATAATAGTATTTTCATTTCTTTTTGCTTTTACTTTTTTCTTATTTCTTCACACTTTTTTCTTCTCTCTTCTTTTTCTCTTCTCTTTTCAGTCATTTCTTTACCTGATTTTACTGTAGATAAAAAAAAAGAGATGACTTGCTTTCAGGATATTTTATTTGCTATCTCACTGTTGTTATCCTGACCTTTCTATTATTTATAAGATTATCGATTAATGCAGACAATTGACGCTGCAAAGAATAAAATATAGTATTAATTAAATAACTTCTTAAACCCGATAGGTCCACAAATTTGTAGAAATAATAATAGAGAGGCTGATCCTTATTTTTGTAATACAGATTGAAATGTCTAATTCATTATTTTTATTTTCTAGTTTATGAGTTTCGTGCACATGGCTGAGTGGTTAGAACATTAGTTTTCTGACTATGAGACCAGTGTTCGACTCTCATCTTGGCTACAATTTCTTAATAATATTGGCCTGAGGAGACAATCCCAGCTGATCATACTCTTGGAAAGTGTCTGAAAACTACAACATGGGTTGACTTGTGAGTGACATTGGGTAGGCGAATCTGTTTGGAATTTGTTGATAATTGCGCTTGCACAAAGTCACAAGTCATTGTTACCAAGAACAAACAAAATGTATAAATTCACTTTCATATGTTTAGATTTTATTATAATTCTAATCACCGATTTTTAAAATGATAAATATTGCCAAAGAGTGAAGGTAGTTAAAATAATAGCGAAGTCATGGAAAAAAATATCCTTTCATACTCCTTTTTTTCTTTTTCTTTTTTTTTTTGTGAGCACAAAGATCCTTGTTTGCCAAATTTTTCAACATCTTCAAATTGTTGGAACTGCTGACAAAATGAGTGTTGCATGGAGTGATTATCTGAAAGTGGCAAGTTTAAAGAATACTCAGCTTGTGGAAGTATTTACTATTCCACCTCATTTTGCTGCATCATATATGCAACTGCAGAAAAGGCATTGTTATGCAGCATCCTTATCTATTGACCTAACTTTAGACATGGAAACTGACAAGACATCCAATTTTGATATAGGCAATGTAAAATTGACCTCAAAGGTAATTCCAGGTTACACAAGAGCACAGCATTTCATTTCTAGCTAAACAAAACCATTTTTAACAAAATGAATCGAGTTTTCTCTAAAATCGAAAAAAAAAAAAGATATAGTTAAATTTAAAGTTATTTTTCTCCAAATAGGACAATTTGTAGTAAAAAAAAAGATTTTAGAAAATGTTATCAAATTTAAATTCAATAAACTCTCTTTTTTTTGTTTTTTTTTGTTTTTTTCAATATTAAATTTTGTGGCTTAACAGGATTAATTTTTGTTTAAATTTCATTTTTACAGTTGCACATTCCATGATTTCAGTTCTGACCCATTGGGTTGGTTGGAGAATGGACATGTTTCAGTTAAATCCACAGACTTCATTCACTATCTTCAGAAACATCCAACTTTAAGGAATTCTTGCTCACAAGGTCAACAAATTGCTGTTATGCTTTGTTCCATAACAAATCTATTAATCCATCAATCTCCATCTTACACATGTCGTTTACTTCACAGACTTGTCGACACTTACACATCCCCATTTTCAGGTAAGATTTTGCCTTCAGTAATCATCTGAGATAGACATTCCTTTGATAGTAATGTAAAGAAAATTGAAAACATGATTTGATGTCCAAGTTTTATTGGTTTGGCTAAAATGTTAATTCTGTTTTAATTGTTAGATAGCATTTAGAGTTTTTAGTTTTAATTACATTCAAAAAATCACTTATGATCAGACACTGACAACTATCACATCACCATGGATTTGTTTTCTTTTAAATTAACTTTATTGATTCCAAGATTGAAGATGCATAAAAACAAGCAACATAATCAGTATAGTATATCTTTTTTTTCTTTCTTTTTTTCTTTTTTTTCTAAGAAAATTAAAATTATGACTCAAATACTAGAGATTATGGATAAGGTATTGTAGATGATTAAATGTGTCAACAGTGGTTTGCAATGTTCTATGCTAAAGATTTTTTTTCTAAATAATGCTCTGTGTTTAGGTAGATCAATTGAGATTGATAACAAATCAAGATGTTACTTGAGAATAATCAATGATATACTATAGGATCATACATTGCAATATTTCATTCTAATTGTACAAAGAAACAGTAACTTGTGCAATTCTAGAATATCTTCACTTATATTATTGTTTACCTTTCTCTCTGTTTTGGGGTTAGGGATGCTGGTATTTACACCATATGGCCACTTGAAATTGAGTAATTGCTTTGGGATTTTGTTTGAAATTAGATTTCAAGAATGAATTTGTAAAATTGCACAAAGCACATGCCTTCCTACTGTAACCAAAGGCAAATTTTTAAATGCTTATTGTCTTGGGTGTCACAAAATACACTAGCTGATAACATATAATTACTTCAGTATCTGTCTATATTTCTGAGATGAGGTATTATGTACACTATTTACATTATTCAGACTATTGTCCTCATCTTTGTTGCCATATTTATCACAACATTTCAGCCATTGTGCCCTCCAGCCTTTTTCACTGTGCCATGTGTCCTTAAGGACACATGACACAGTGGTTAAAGGTGTTGGTCAGATCCAGTGATAGTGTGAGTTCAATACCTGGTTAAGGCAGTGGAGAGCTTGGAGAGGTGAATTAACAGGAGATAACTGATAACTGACATCCATTAGACATGGCACGTAGAACTAGAACGGTCTACCCAGCAAGCAAAATAAAGGGTTCAGTTCAACTTTCTAACCACCTGAAGAAGACCGAAGTGCACAACAGCTGAAATGTTGTGATAAATATGGCAACAAAGATGAGGACAATAGTCCAAATAATGTAAATAGTATATAATTACTTAAATATACAATATTATAAAACTGAAATAATTTTTTTTTTTATAGATATCTCCAATATGAATAAGTTATAGATCAGGGTTCCTCAAACTTTTTTTTCCTCTACACGTACCCCTTTCATCGTGCGAATGTATTGGTATTTTTCTAACAGTATTTGTTGATGCACAGCAGCAATAACAATGCTGTTAGGTGGGGTGAAAAAAGTGAAGACAAACGAGTGAAAAAAGATCGAACCGGGTGAGATGGAAGAGTGAAGACAAACGAGTGAAAAAAGATCGAACCGGGTGAGATGGAAGAGTGAAGACAAACGAGTGAAAAAGATACTGCCAGTAGGTGTGAACATGTAAAATGAAGTAGTGGAAAATACTGGTCATGCTTCATTAAAGATTTTTTTGACAATTGGTATCCTCTTTTTTGTGAAAACTTGCATATCTAATGAAAGGGAGGGGAGACCCCCCAGAAATATAATTTATGTAGCTACAGTGAGCTTAGAACAAAGGCTCCTTATTGGCATTCAATGTGATTCAGACCTCTAATATTTTCTGGCTTGAATCACATACTACAAAATAAAGGTTTTACAGTGAAAAACTAGTAAATATCTATTTTTTTTCTTTACTGAGGTTCAAAAACTATACCCCAAACATTTTGATTTGAATAGATACTTTAAATATTGTCTGGATTTGGATGCAAATGATTGTTATAAATTAGAAAAAGGGGGAAACTGATTTTTCCTCAACTCAGAAATAGCATTAAAAACAATAATTGTTTTAATCTTTTTATCAACAGTAGCCATCATTTTGGTGACAGGTACATTTTTCACTACACTTAAGTAATGTATAAATCTCTGCTAAACTTTTATTAACTGCAAGAATGTAACAGATATCAACCTTATTGAATTGTGAATTATTTATTTGAATTTCAGGAGTAACTGTTGGTCAGGTTGTATGTATGGTCCACTCTGATCTGCATGGTGAACACTTACTTTCCCAGTTGGCCTACGTTGCTACCAGTGTGATTACTCTCCAAAACAACTCTACATCAAATACATTTATGAATTGTCATGTACTTCACCACAGAACAACAGGGAAAATTTTACAAATTGTGAGTCTTTCAAGAAATTGCTTAGAAAATGTCTGTGGATTTCAGACGACTTAGTGATTACACATAATATCGATTTATTACTTTATCTACACCATCAAAAAATAACAGAATTATTTAAGCAATTTTGCAATGGCATTGGTTATATTTTCTGCATAAATACTCTAGCAGTTTTATCTATATCTCCATTGTCCAATGCAAGAAAGAAATCTACTTTTTGAATTATTAAAAGTAAAAATATCGAAAGAAAGCTAAGATGACCCATACTGTGGAAACCTGATGGAATTATTTAATTAATTTTGCAGTTATGTTTCCCCACATGAGTAATCTCTGAGTTTTATCTATAGAATTAACTTTTTAACAAGTCTTTATAAATCATTTTAAAAATATATTCAAAAAATACTAAGTTACAAATTATTGACAGGATTCAAAGACATTAATGTAAATACAGAAATTTTTTTTAGGTAGTATTTAAATCTATACGAGTTAATCTTCTGTAGTTATTTCTTCTATCTACAAGAGTTGAAATCTTTTGTGGGTATTGCTTGTATCTATACAAGTTAAATCTTTTCTATGTATCGCTTGTATCTATTTAAGTTTGAAATCTTTTCTATGTATCACCTGTATCTATATGTTTGAAATCTTTTCTAGGTATTGTTTGTATCAAAACAAGTTGAAATAATTTATTTTAGTAGATGTAGTTAGTGAGAATTTCTCTTGTGCAAAATATAAAAACACCAATAAGATGAAGTGCACAACTCTATTTGTTTTTTTTTTTTTTATTGGGTTTAAAAAAAATGATGTGCAGTTTTGAAAATATACACATTTTAAAACTGAGATTAAAACTTACTTTATTTTTTTAAAAATCTAATTTAGGTGCATTCTTTAGATAAAAAAACAAATTTATTTCTAAAAAAAATCTTCATTCATTTTTCTTGTTTGCAACTTTTGTGATTGGCATACTGGCTTACTAGAAAAGAATTTTACCCTTATAAAAAATCCGACTTCATAAAATTTAACATTAAGACGAAACTGTTTCTACTTGCTATTTTGTTGTTAACTTAATTTTACCACAAAAACTTTATTATTTTTTTTTTTTTTTTTTTAAACTAAAACATAGATTTCAGACATCATGTTGTATCTTCTTTTTTTTTTCATTTCTTTTGTAAACAAGTAGATTTCACATTTATTTCCTAAAACTAATCAATTAAATGTTTTTAACATATTTTTGTTCAATTTTTTCTCTTACAATAGTATATAAAATTTACTTAACATCTAAAAGTCCTTTTCAATAGTGTTTCTTTGGATATGGTCACTCAGTAGTGATAGCACTTAAAAATTGAATGATTTCGGTTTTGTAAAAAATTTTGATGCAGTTTCACAGTGTAAAGATGAAACTGAAAAAAAAGTCAGTTTTTCGGTTACACCACCCATCTCTAACATATATATTAGACATACAAATTCATTCACTAGCTCAGTCACTAAATCTACTTTCAAAATCTACCACAACTCTAAATGTAGAAGAAGTCATAAGGTAATTCAACTATTAAAATGCACACTATGCCAGAAACAATATGTGGGGAAATCTGAATGGCCCTTTCACTACAGAATTAATAATTATTGGAATCGGATCAACTTGGCTCCCCACAAAAGATTATTACCTTTAGATTTTGTGCCTCAAAACACTTCCCACACAAGACAGACATGCTTGCAAATGTGTTGAGGTCTCATGCTTATGCACACTCGCATAGATATATACGCATCGCACACACACACACTCCCAAAAAACTAAAAGATAACATGCACTTAACACACACATCCCATTATTCCCAGCAACCAATAAAACTGTCAAAATGACCAAGGAGGGAATTCTGAAAGTCAGGAGTCTCCCATCCTCTATCTTAAAAACAACTTAAAAGAGGCCGTTTTGCTAACATAAGGACTGACCAAAATTAATGATAAAAAACAAATGAAAACTACAGATAAATTTCACTTTTTTCAGAGAGTCATTCACTCCTGTAGTTTTTTTTTCTCTCTTCTGATGATGGCCATGCTGGCTGGAACTAGTCAAGGAATTTAATTGAAATAATAAAAGAAAAAATATTAATATCCAACCCAGTGTGTCTGAAAATTTTAATTTTTTAATATTCTTTTATTGTTCAAAACATTATATATAAAACTCTGCAAAGATATTACTTGGCATTTGCTTCAATTAAGGTGAACATGTTTTATGCAGTTTTCTATTCTAATGTCAGCTTTTCTTCTGTAATTTAGAATGAGCAATTCCGATTAAGTCCTACATATGAACTGAAAGACTTGATGGTGGCCAAACCTGCTGCAGTATCTGTTACAGATGAACATCAGGTGAATATATTCTTGTTTACTGGAATTTTCTACTTGTATGTCAAATGTGCAATATTTTTATACATGCTAATGGTTGACTATGCTTTATCTAATGGAAAAATTAAGTTAATACATACCATTGCTTATACTACTTTTGTACAGAAATGTTACAAATATGGTCCCCCTGAATGATCAGGGAGAAGGTAAATCTGAATTTTTTTTTTTTTTTTTAATCAGTATCACACCAAGCAAGGCAGTACATCCATTAGCATGCAAAGGGTTACAGGGTGTGGAGGAAGTAGGAGCAAAAACATTAGTAACGAAGGGTAATCAGGAGGGCAGTAGACAGCAATTGACATTGCATTTAAATTTTTACAGATTAAAGTTGGCTGGAAAGCAAGGAGCTGGGAGGGAGTTCCACAAGTGAGAAGTGTGAGAAAAGAAACTGTTAGCATAGAAGTTACAGTTAACTCAACTGTAAATTGATGAGATCTTGCCACCAGTCTAGTATTGTTCTTAAATTCATACACTCTAGGGGTACCATAGCAAAGAGCTCATCCAGACAATTACCATGGAAATATTTATAAAAGAAGTACTGAGAGGCAACCATATGGTGGTATGCAAGTGACTGAAACTAAGCCACCAGATCAGGACTAATAATATTGCTGATTCTTCTTTGGATCTTATCAAGGAGCTCCGGGAAAATAGCAGTGGCACTGAACCATATATGACAGCAACATTCTAAGCTTGGTTAGATTTTAACTGATAGCCATAAATCTCTTGTAGCAAAAACAAGAGAACAGTTATCACACAGGGAAACTTCTCAAGGTGAAAAATGCAAGTTCAAGTCTCACTTGGAGCTTGTGTTTTATTTTCAGTCTGTGCTGTTTGCTAGTAGTCTGAGGAGTTTGTGATGAAAAGCAACTGAAATTAAGATGAAAAAAATTACTAGTTAATTAATAATAGGTATACATATTTTAAATTGCTTACATCATTGGGTATAGAGTTTAGGAGATCATAAATATTAATCTGTTTTTTATTTAGCTTTATTTTATAGAAAGTGTAATTGACTGATTGATTTGTTTTCTACAGCTTATCAACCCTTTACAGGTTATTTAAAGTCAGAAAATATTTTTAGGTTGTAAGATTTTTTTTTTTTTCTTTTTTAAAATAATAATGGTTTAGTGATACAAGTCTCACTAATTAACCCATAGCTGGTGGGAGAAGTGATGGATTCATAACTTTCCCAAGGGTATTTGCATGTAAGTGAATATAATGAACCCAACTGGAAATTGAACTCGGCTCCCCAATTAACAATTTTGAGCCATTATCTATTATACCATCTGCACCCAAGCTTACAGCACCAGGTATTACCAAGTGATCACCCATCTTGGTACTGACCAGGCTCAACATTGCTTAACTTCAGTGATCATACAGGAACCGGGTTTTGATGTGATGTGGTTGTAAGCCTGATAATGTAAGTTCATGCTTATAAAAGTTCAATTTTGTCAAACATTACCTTGGAAAAATTTGAGAAACAAAAAAGGTATGGAATTTATCAAAAGAATTGTAAAAAAAAAAAAAAAAATGCTATTGGTCCACCTGTCTACCAGCATTTTATGGTGTGTCAGAAATATGCACCTTTCATTTCAGCGGGCAAAATTAAGGAAACAATTGGATCGCATATCAAAAATTACTGGAGCTTTATCCATGTTCTTCAGTTGTCTCAATCCAAAACAAATTTCTTTTCATGCATTTATTCTAATATTAGTGGTAAAAAGTGTGATTTTTATGTACCATCAGTTAGTATTTCTTTCATTTTATTTCTGTTGCTTCTTATTTCAAATCACAGCTCTTCCCCCCACCTTCTACACCTGCAAGTAAGCATATCTTGAAGGCTAGTTTCCAGTTTTGCACAGTTTACTCATAGTTTTGGGACATGGAATGATAGTCTGAGAATTGCAATAAAAAAAACTGGAATTAAAATGAAAGAAATATAAGGGGTGCTGAAAAGTTCTCGGCCTCACCCACTTCCAAAAATCTAACTAAAGGACTAAACATCAGAATTTTGGTGGGGAAGGGCTTCTTGATCAAACCAAGAACTTTTCAGCATCTCTTCATACTCATCAAAAATTAATAATAATTAACAGTGCTTTATCAAAGATATTCAAAATAATATGAATAGTCTAGATGTTTTGGCATTTTTTTTACAGACATATTAGTGTATATATTCCCCATAATCTTGTTTCTTTATGATTTTTAGTCTTTTAATTAGATCTCTATGTTGTTTGATATATGAGTAATTGATAGTACTTATGAGAGAAGATAAGTTACACTATTGCTTTTGCTGTTTTGTGGAGGGGGTGCTGTTAATACTGAATACATTGGGTCTAATTGACGTCTAAATATCCTGAAGAACACTCTCACTAAATATAAAGAGAAAACTTACTGTTTAACAAATATATATATATATATATATATATATATATGCCAATTAATTACTAACTAGTGTTGCTTTTCTTTGAACTAAAATTCTTACAAACAAAAAATTGATTTACAGCTAGGATCCCCATAAGCACTGTTCTTGCAGTTTTATTTTTTGAACTTTTATAATCTAGTCTATTTAAACATATCTTACATAAAAACTTCATTTACCTCAGGTACATAGTAGTTTTGTTAATATATCTTCAAAGAAAAAGCCCACCAAACATAAAAAAATGAATATCGAACACACTATTGAATTTGTACAGAATCCAAAACAATAACAAATTAGATTTCAAAACCTCATCAGTTTTTATTCCTATCACAAAACAACAAAATAATATCTATTTATTATAGTTTTCTATCTAAGAGCTCTCAGAATATGTACCCCAGAATATCCACCACTATAGGCCAAAAGTTTGGAACCACACTCTGGATTTAATATTTAGTAAGTTTCTTAGAAGACCTGGTGGAGTAATGGATAGCGGCTCGAATTGAGGAATCGGAGAGCCAAGTTTGAATTCCAGTCGAATCCATTGCATTCACTTACGTGCTAATACCCTTGGGAAAGGTATGAATCCTCTTCTTCTCCCCCCAGCTATGGGTAAATAGCATGACAGACCAAGTTCTATAGCCTTGGATGGCAATTGGTCTACCACAGAAAGAAATGGTAACCTACTGCAGGAAAAAAAATCTGCCTCATCAGTCATGTATTATGCATGGCACATAACTGACTGAAGTTCCTTAGGTTTATTAATTCTCTCTAAGCTAGGAGGCTGGAACTAGTGCATGGCACCCAATTTCTTAAACTAGAGGTTTACTTAAAATTTAAAATCCACCAGCCTTAAGATTATTATTAAGTTCCAAAGTAAATTAAGTAAAAAGAGGTAAAATTTGTAGGAAACTGTGGTGAACAGCCCCGTAGAAGCAAGCGAGCCAAAGTGGCTTTGCATCTCGTGTTTAGGAAAATAAGGGTCTTACCTTAACATGCGGCATGTGACATCAGCAAGTTTGCTTCGTGAAAATGGCATTACTCTCCCATCCAGCCATTCTAGCAGTATGTGCAATGATGAAGGTTTTTTGTACAGTTCGGAATGCTTCTACCAATAGCAAGTCGTGTGCTGATTGGTCAAACTGGAGGAGGCAATTTGCCTGTGTAACCGAGAATAACAGCGAAGAACACTGATTGGCTGGGGAACCGCGGTGTTGACCTGATAAAAGAGTGCTGGAGCCGTGAAAAAGGGGACAAAAACGTTGGCTATACGTAGTGACGTGTGAAGAAAGCGAGGATGGTGAATTGAACCAGCGATATTGTGATTCGTACAAGTGACAGTTGGGAGAGCAATAGACTTATTTAAGCTACAGAAACTTTATGCATTAATGGCGGGGGTGGTATAGTAGTAGTAGTAGTAGTAGAAAATATGATAAAACCTTTCAGGAAGAGAAAAGCATCCAACCTTCTTCTATTTTTTGGTGATTCTTGAAATCCAGGGGATAGTTCCAAACCTTTGGCCTATGGTGTAGATAAAGGTGAAAATTATATTTAGAGAAACTTTAAAATCCCTGACGACTCTCATTATTTCATTCTGGATGCAAGAAAAAAAGCATACAAAATCCGCAGGACCCAAAAGAGAGTACCTTCAACCCCCAAAATACTAAGTTTATAATTCTTCCTAACTTAGAACCTGAGAAATTTTTAACTATCCCAAACACTAAAATTATAACCATTAGCTCCAAGACAAATCAGGTCAGCAAAAAAGATAGAATCAACAATGTATCAGAAGCTGGGATATACAAAATAAACTACCTACAACAACATAAGAAATATACATTTATGATTGCAAGAAAACCTTCATTAGGATAGCTAATTTATCTCCTTAGTGTCACATAGAAATACATTACTATGCAAAAAAAAAAAGTGACTCGGCAATAATTTTTTCAATTATGTTTAACAAATTATGTTATTATAAATAAAAATTTTTATTTATTTTTTCAGTTAAAAATATACATATTATTAGTAAAATTAAAAGATAATTTGGAACTATTATTTTTTTGAAAAAAAAAAAAAAAATGACCATTTTTGAGTATTTAAGTTTTCTACTGTACAAAAAAAGTGACTCATTACAAAATGTCTTGTTTTAAAACACCCTGTAATTTTATTTCCATAATTCTATTCCAGAATATTCTTAAAAATTCTAGAAAGCTTTAGAATTATTTTAAAGTATATAAAAGAAACCAAAAATATAATTAATTAGTGATTTGTTATGAAAAGCTATAAACACACCACAATCTGCTAAAGTAGCAATAGTTGCCCTATCAAAAGTTGGTAAATTGACTTGAGAAATTGCAAATAGTGTCAACACTTCTCAATCAACTGTCTTGTGGGTTTTGAGAAGCTTCAATTCCACTGAAACATTTGTCAAGGTAGAAAAATGGCGTAAAAACACAAGATCGATGAGAGAACTGGCCTCAAAATCAATAGAGAAATTAACCAAAACTGGTCAGTTACCAGTAGAGAAATTGCTGCTACATGGAAAAATGATCTCAAAGTAATGATCTCTACTGTATGCAGATGGATTTTGAACAAAGGTTACAAAGTCTATTCAAAAGTTTTTAAGCCACTGGTAAATAAAATACATAAGGCATGGCATTGTATTAGCATGGGCAAATACTTCCAAGTCACTGACTTTGATTGGAAAAATGTTCTTTTCTCTGATGAGACAAAAATTGAAATGTTTTCAAAAGAAGAAATTCAGACGGAGGAGTGAAGAAAACCCTTTGAAAATGACAGTTAATACTGTGAAGCATCCTGTCAGTTTTTGGGGTTGCTTCTCATTCAATGGGACTGGATTTTTCAAACCAGTAAACAAAATGCTCAAAAATATTGGGAACCTGTTTACTGCCATCAGCCCCAAAAACTCAAAATTGATCAATCAAGTCTCATTTTTATATAAGACAATGCTCCCTGCCACACATCAAAGCAGATGAAAAATTACTTGTCTGAAAAAAAAAAAATGTCAATGTTATGGTATAGGTCTCCTGACCTAAACCCAATCAAGAATTTATGGAGCATAATAAAATTGAGACTTTTGAAGAAAATCATTCAAAACAAAGAAGCTTTGATTGAAAATTTTATTGTAGAGTTTGCTAGGAGATGACATCTGTAAAAGTCTCATTAAGCGTATGGCATACCAAGTCTAACAAAATTCTGAAAAACAAAGGTGGAAGCATAAATTACTAATGAAATTTTTCTTTTGTGTTTTTATTTAATGAATTTTATTTTTTAAGAGAATATTAGATTAACTTTGTAAATAATTAATACAGTATAAAATGTGAATCAGTTTTTTGTACAGTAAATATTTACCTTAAAAACAAAAAATAACATGCTTTAGGTTTGTTTCTTAAGAATTTTTTTTTTATAAAATTGAAGATACTGTATCATTTCCCTTATACACAATTTTTTAAAACTATTTTTTATCTAAAATATTAAGGAAAAAAAAACAAGATTTTTTCCAAAAAAGTTTGACCGAGTTATTTTTTTGGCACAGCACCATAAAACAGACCAAAATGCTACCTTAGTAAAAAATGAATCCAATCTTACAAAATAGCTAGAAAGAATATTAATATAAGATGCAATAAATGCTTGTCAGCTGTACTTTTACCAATATTTGTAAAACTTATATTTAATGACTGTAAGATACAAACATTTGCAAAAAATGTAACCTAGTGTTATGCATTTCCTTTCAACATTAATCATATTTATCATACAACCATTAATATAACTAATGTTTTGATACACTTTTTTTCTTTAATAATTTCACTCCAAGTAAGGCAGTAAAGCTACTAAAACATAAGGGGGTTACTAAGTGTGAAAGAATATAAGAAAACAAAAACATTATTAAGGAGAGAGAACAATAAAAGAACATGAATTATGCTAACATTTCAATAATTAAACACATGCAAACACCATTAGGTAAACATGATGCCCACCAAAATTGATGCATACATACATACATACATACCACCACCCTTAATATGTGATGTCTACCCAACCAATGAAAGCAAAACTAAAAAAACAAAAACTCCACAGCCCAAAAAATTTCTGATGAAGTTAAATAGTGAAACATTAAATTTCTAAAGGTTTTCCTATTTGTTCCATATTTAAATCATACATATGTGCACATAGCATTTGATATATGTAAATGATTATAAAGTATTGTTCATATTTTTGCAAAAATTCAAGAACATACTAACTTGAGTTTTTGTTTCTTGTTGCAGCCTGATCCTACAGCCAATCTTACTTTTAACCTCAACCTTACAGACAAAGAGAAAGCGGACAGAAGTCGACAGGTTCTTCCTCACATCAAAATCCAAAACTTGTAAGTAATTTTGAACTTGTTTCTTTCTTTATTTAACTATAAGGAGAAAAAAACTTGATTTTTCAACATGTAGGATCATATATTCAACAAGGTTGCATAGCCAAAAAGGGTAATGGCTGACATGATCAAAGAAATATGGTTCTGATTAAAATAATTTTCCCATTTTAGTTTGCCAAATGTTGAGGTGGATTTGCCCAAAGAATGATATAAAGTGACCATAGTTGGAAGTGGTCAGATAATTTGAAAAAGGAACTTTGTCTTTATCTCTCTTTCTATTCTACATGCAAGTGAAATGAGGTTTCTCTTGACCATAGTTATATTTTTTTTTTCTGATACCTCTACAAGTCAATATATCAGAAAGATTACACAATCTGTTATTATTATAAGTTGTATAATTCTTAGCTCTAAAAACATATTTATCCAGTTTCACAATCATATCTTTCATTGATTCTCTGAATTGTTTATTATTAAATACACCATATTAGTCAGTAGCACATGTTTCATATAGATGTCCACAGACGGAGAAAAGCAGGACAATGCACAAATATTTTGGAGGTTGCATAATTGGTTCTCTAGTTAAGTATTAGTTTATCTCCCATAGTAAAAATGAACAAAAGTATAGCTATACATAGGTATACCTAAAGAGGAAAAAATAATTATTTTGTGCAACAAATAATTTTTAACATAATCTCTTTCATCATCAGTGTATTTAATCCAACACAAGGTAGTGGTAAAAGACAATACTGCAGTCAGTTAATGCAGGCTAAGAGAGAAAAACGGACATGTATGTGTGCGCACACACACAAACTCAAAAAAATGTGTACCCACTAAAAATGAGGTTTATAGTAATGAGAAATAATGTCAGATTCCACTGAAAATTTTTTCCCTTTGATTTAAATTAAATTTAAATTTGAACAAAGGAATGACTCCTGTCCAAAATATAGAAAAGAGAAAGCCAGAAGATGGAGTTCACATTGGCAGACTCAAAATGAAACAATATGGGCATAGAGTTGAGCAAGAAATCATCAGTGGGTAGTGCCTTACAATACATATTTGTTGCGACAATTTAACTGTCATATCAATGTTGAAATTTGTTCATCAATTCATTCAATCAAGTATTGCATCAAATACATATGAAAGGGGGCAAATCAAGCTGTTTTTGTAACCCCCCCCCACTGAAAATTTTTTTTCTCTTTCATTTAAATTTTAACAAGGGAATGGCTCCTATCCAAAATATAGAAAGAGAAAACCAGAAGATAGAGGTCACAACAATGAGTTAAAATCATTTTTTTCAGAAAAAAAGAAAGTGTGACATGCAGCAAGGCACAGGTAATTCGTCTAGAAAAATAATAAAACACATAAATACATACATTGATACAATCTTCTTCAGTGCAAGTGAGTTCTGGATAACCATTTTGTATATAGTTATCTCCCTTGCATTGGCAATATTTAAACCTTACTAATTATTACTGTCATTATTCTTACACAAAATAAATTATTGCATGAGCAGTAGGCTTATGACTTCTTTGCAAGTCTATGTTCCTGTGTCATTAATCAATGAACTTTCCTTCAAAAATAATGAAAAAGGCATTAATTTGTTTTGGTTCTTGAAAAAGTTCACCCCAAGCTGAAAATTCAATTTTACCATATATGCAACAAGGGTAAAAAATCAAAATATTTCAGAAGCTTTATTTTTCAATTTACTAATGATGTAATTGGATAGTACTTATGTAATTTTTAATGCATTTAACAGTTCATAGCTATAGCATAACATACAAACTTACAAATAAACAAAAACAACTTCTAGAAGTCTCCAGAAAGTCATAGTACTACTATACTTATATACAACTTTAGAAATTTCATGTTGGAGAGTGACATTTTAAAAAAAATAAACTGAAACCTTTCTTTATCATTTTTAACAAAAGTTCATCGAATTATGATAGAGGAAAACAATTATTTTACATTATATTGTCATAACCCTTTTGAGCAGTCTCTTATGAGCAGTCCACCAGCGATATTCATCCAAGGCTGGTGCAGGGGAGTCTTGTAAGATATGGTTTATTGGAAAATTCAAAGAGTAAATTTTATCAGAAGCACTTGATGCAAACAAGATTTAAATGTTAGAGGCAAAAATATACAACTACATTTAGAGTATAATAAAGTAAGATTTTTTTTTTCCAGACCCCAAGAAAGTAAAACTAGCTGTGAAGAAGGAGAAGGTGGAGGACAGATTTTTTATGAACCAGATGATGCTGATGACTTTGATGAAGAAGATCCTGATGATGATCTTGACATTTGAAACAGATACAATTGCTTTGGTTTACTTAAGAAAAACCAGAAACTACACCTTTTGTGATACAGAAGATGGTAAATTTTTCTTTTGTTATTTTTAATTTAATTTTGTCACTAACAATTGTTTTCATCCTGATTTTCAATGTAGTTCTGTAGTAAAATCATTAGTAAGGCTTTTGCATTATACGTATCTATGGTTCTTCGACTATATGGATTTAAGCACAGTACTAGATTGGTGGCAAAATCTCATCATTTTGCAATTGAAATGGCTACGTATAACTGTAAGTTCTATGCTAACAGTTTCTTCTCTTGCACTTCTCACTTGTGGAACTCTCTTCTGGCTTTTGCTTCACAGTCAAATTTGATCTTCAAAAATTTAAATGCAATGTCAATTATTATCTTCTGTCTTAATTCCTGTTCTTTTATTGTTCTCCTTAATAGCATTTTTATTTTTCTAATATTCTCTAACACTCAGTAACCTCTTGCGTCTTTGTAACTTTATTGCCTTGCTTGGGGTGAAATGATTAAAAGCAAAAAATACATTGAAGCAGTATTTTATCAATAATATTTGCTATAATTCCTTTTTGATTTCAATGCTTCTTTATAGAAAAAAATCAGTAGCAATACATTTGCATTGTTTTATCAATATGTGATAATATAGATGGAATACTATATAGTGATGAAATTATAGTGATAATACATTGTATTATTCAACACTATATTTTATCTATATTCTTGCATATTGATAAAATAATGTAACTGTATTGCTAATGATTATTAACATGCAAATGTTTTGAAATCAGAAAAAATTGATTGCCAGTTATGAGTAATTATAGCAAAAACTACTAATAAAATAGTACAATTATAATTGCTGGTTAGTAGTTTCTGAGTATACCTGTTTGCTAGAGTGGCTAGCCAATTCCTGTTGCAGATGCCTGTTCAGGCACATTTGTGTTTTTCAACACCTGTAGAGCCCACCCATGGTTTATACAGTAACTATGCTGATTGGACCTTAGCTACAGTTTCTAGGGGAGAGTTCATCATCTGGCATGATCAACAGTTTGAACAGGGCCAGTACTCTCAAACCCTCGCTCACAATGACTTGTGATTTTATGCTAGTACAACCATTGACAAATATTTCTGTCTACACAATTTTACTCGCACATACTATACGCTGCAATCACCTCTATAGACTTGATGACATCAAGAAGTCACTTTCCTGACAAATTGAACATAATGAGATTCAGACCTGGGTCTCATAGACATTTTATATGTATAATCAAGGTTCATACAGGTCCTGGAAAATTGACATGGCTTTTTCCAGGACTTGAAAAGTTCTGAAAAAACAGCAATAGCCCAAAAGCTTCTTGAAAAGTCCTGGAATTTTTTTTTGTCTGTTTCAAAAGACATTACCATTTCTGATAAAATATCAAAACGATAAACCATTGCTTCCTTCCCTTGCAGATGATCTTTTTAGCATGATCATAAAACTGTTAAAATTTGTAAAGGAAGAGTACACTAAAAAGATAATTGCACATTCCAAACTGAATGAATTTGTAAGAATTTTGTCAAACCCAAACATGCAAAAAGATGCTGCAAAGATCAAGTGTGGATTTCTGGCAAATAAGGCTATGCAAAATTTATCCAAATAAAGAAATGTGTTAACAAATGATCTGTTTGCATACAGAATTGCAACAATGTTCATCACCATCATTGAGAAACTTCTGTCAAAATCTCCCCTTAGATAACCTCTTGTAAGGTCACTTGCATGGCTGAACCCTGGATCCATTTGTGAAAAAAAAATTGCCACAGAAAACAGTCTAAAAAATGATGTCTTTCCCACATGATGGACAGAAATCAAGTCAGCCAGTCTGATTATGATGACATCATCAGCCAGTACAAAGAGTTTGAGGAGGAGGAGGAGGCTGCTGGAAATATTTGCTTTCAAGAATTTCAGCAACCATGAAGACCATCTGGACACTTTGTTTTACTCTTCTTTTGTCTAGCAACAAAGAATTATTAAAAACTGTAGAAAGTTGTTTGTAGATTGCTGGTACTCTCTTATGGACAGGCCTCAGTGGAGAGAGATTTCTCAGTCAATGACAATGTAAAACAGCAGATTCTGGTCACAGTGCATTATCACAAACTATATGGCCAAAGTTGGAGGTGCTGGGAATGTTCCCATGACTAAGGCTCTTCTCTGCAGTGTTTCCAATGCCAGAACAGCATACAACCAATACCTTGAGGCTGAGAAGAAAAAAAATGCAGAAAGAAGCAGCTGGACAAAAACAGAAATCCATGCTTATAGAAATTGAAGAACTGAAGACCAAAAAGCACAAGCTTGAAAGTTCCACACAAGATTTGCTCAAGTCAGCTGACATGTATGTGGAGAACACAGAACTTCACACTTATCACAAAGTCCAGTGCCATGCAAAGATCTGCAAATGACAAATCCATAGAAATATCAAAACTGGAAGAGGAGCTGAATGCTTAACTAGATGAACTGAAAACAAATGTTAGCATCATCGTGTTCTATGCCATATGCAACAAAAGCCATGAGTAGTAGGGGTAGCTGAAATGTATAGACTTTTTGCAAAAATTAACTATTTGTAGTTCTGTTCATTAAAACGATTATAGTTAACTTCACAGGAAATGTGTAGCAGTAAGAATTAAAGTAATTCAAAACTTTCAAGTGTAGTTGAACTCCAAACTGTAGAATGCTACAAAAAATGTGTAACATAACATAAATTCAGTTGTTTTAGCCTTCAACACTTTGAGTTCTTCACAGCTTTCAACTGATCCATGTGACATGAATTATTGGAACCAGCTGTAGCTTTTCTTTGAACATTTCATCTGTCAGACTATTAAAAGTTAAATCACAAAGTTTATTTTTTTTTTTTTTAAATTGATGACCATTCACTATGTGTATGTTAGTTTCAGTCCTTGAAACTTCTTAAGATAGTTCTGGATTTTTTATTTTTTTTACACAGAACTGTGGGAAACCCTGTATAATGTAAATAGGTTCGTAATGATTTTGCTTTAAAACTGCATTGAAAATTAACAGTTGTTGTTTTTTTGGGGGGTTTTTTTTCATGCATTCCACTTGTGGATATTACAGGTACAAGAGTCTGATGAATGTTGAGAATAACATGGATATAACATGACTGCAAGGAATTTCTTGCTAATAAACAGAGACATGGTTGACATTTTGGAAATGCAACATGATAGAAGGCTTGAAGATTTTAACACCCACAGGGTGCATCAAAGGCAAGAAAAATAGCAGAAAGTAATGATTAATTGACTTTATAAGTTAGTGCAAATGGCAAAGTGCCCTAATGAGAAAGATGGTATTGTAAATGAGCAGGTATTGCTCATTCCTAACCCCTCTTGCATGACACATCAATGGCATCCTTCGCATAGCATATCGATGAAGTGTGTGCCTGAGTTTTGTAAAATTATGATTCATATCTTACAAGTATTAATTTTTCTTTCAAAAGTATTGCACTATTTCAGAAACACATTGATGTAAGTAACTTTGTTTATACACAGCACAACTTGATTGAAAATGGTCTTGGAATATTTTAAGTCTATCAACACATTAAGCTAGATATCTTTCTATTTGTGAAACAACCCTTTCACAGCTGCACACTTTTGGTCGTAAAGGCATGTGTTTTTAGTGCATATAAAGATTATAGACATAAATACAACCACCTTTGTAACATCTACACACAGACTAATAACATTGCAATACAAATCTCCTCTTTTGGTCAAAGGGTGGCTAATAATTACATGTTTAATTTTGAAAATTTCGTTTTTAAAATCTCTCAAAATCTATATGTAAATATTCTTATATTTGCCAAAAGCCTAAATAAATTTAAAAACATTTTTAAAAATCTAAAAGAAAACCCAGCAATCTTGGACCCACAAAAGGCAAAGTGTCAAAAGGATGCTTTTCCTTTTACACTGCTATTATTTTACCTACCTTCACTCCTCATCAATATTTGTTTTAAAAGCAATGATTAGAATTTTAATAAAATTTACACATATGAAAGTGAATTTATACATTTTCTTTGTTCTTGAGAATTGACAACAAAAATAATAAACACTGGATAATTTATTTGATTGTTTAATTAATCTCTTCATTTATTATATTGTTTATTGGAATGGTTGGTGAAGCATCAGCTAATTGACAGTTGATTCAAACTTTATAAAATGGTAAATAAGGATTTCCTTATAGTTGGTTCACATATTTTAATAATTTAGTAAATGTTTATAAATTTATGAATAAAAAATTGTTTTCATATTTCTTTCTTTATGAATAGATAAATGATAAATACTGCACTGCATTAGTTTAATACACTTAGTTTTTAGAATATTTTAAATAAAAAATTATTCTTGTAAATAAACAATCTGATAAATAGTGTTTAATATTTTTGTTGTAAATTTTCAAGGACAAAAAAAATGTATAAATTCACTTTCATCATATGTTTAGGTTTAATTAATTTTTTTAAAAAAACAAACAAACATTACCAATGAGTGAATGTAGTAAAAATAATGGTAGTGTCAAGTGAAAAACCATTGATTTGATACTTTGTTCTTTTGCAGGTACCAGGGTCCAAAATTACCAAAATACATTCTAAATTCTGTTCTCCAATTTACTTACAAACCTAACATAAACAATACTTCTTTTAAACCTTTTATTTGGTTAGCCACACCTTCACTACCTATTTGTACCACCCCTCAAAAAAATGAATTGCCTCCTTAATTTCAACAATAAATCTTCCCACAGATACATAATTGCTGTAATAAAAAAATTTTATAAGCAAAACTTCTCTAATATCATGATCCCACTCATTATTTATAAAAGCTTTAAATAACATCAAACTCTTATTAAAAAAGGATAACTGAACTAGATTTTTGACAAACATATTCTAACTAAAATTAATAAAAATAATGACCTTCTACAATAATCATAACAAAAACAATAATACAAAAAAACAAAACCAACATAATATATGAATAGGAAACTTCCCCTGCAAACAACATTATGTTTATGTTGGCCATACTGCCACAATGCTCTCTTGTTGATTAACTTAACCACTTATCTAACCAAAATTCAATAAGATCACATCTTAACTACCAATGTAGTCATAATGGTTGATAATACTCTCATCTGATAGATTAATTGCAAACAGACTGCAAAGAAATGTTTATAATTTATAAAACCTACATTAAATAACAGATTCTTTACTTTAAGAAATGAGGTTTTGAATTTTTTTGATAACTAATGAAGAAAATGTGAATTTTTTTTTTTTTTTAAAGTTCATGTTACAGAGTTAAAGAATCTTTTTCAAAATTTGTTACAGGGCTAAGGATACGGACACAGTAACCAATGACTTTCCTTGATTTTCCCATGACATCTTCTGATGCATAATTTTGAAATTATAACATTCTCTAACAGAAGCTCCAATACAGCATCAGTTTGTGTTCAACATCTCATCTTCTCCAAATGAATAACACCTATGTTTTGTTCCTGAGGATAACCAGAGAATGGCTGAAAGTGCTTAAAATAATGATCAGAATAATGGACATTTCCTGCATCATCTTCAACCAGCTAGTTGTTCCCTTGGAATAAAACAAAAGAAACTACATAAAACAATTAACAATATATTTCTTGTCTGTCTTATTTAATGGCACAAGTATGAAATATTTGGAGTGTTCGGGTAGTAATTTTTCTCTTATGCATTTTGGCTGAAGATCATTGAAAATTCTTTAAACATTTTTTTGGCCCATTTTTCTGGTTTCCAGGTAGAATTTGAACATAAATTGTCCAATGTCTTGATCACTTTCAGCTTTCATAAGTTATTATCAAAGAATTTTTTTTATAGGTAAGCATTTAAGTTCCTTTGATATTTAAGTGCTGCAGCTTTACATAGCAGTTTGTAGTGTTGTGTTGTCATTTTTGGTTTAGGGCGTCTTCTTTTTTTCTTTTTTTTTTTAAATAATAATAATAATATTTCGTATGATTATTTCTAAATTGAATCAAATTTTTTTGATGCAGTGTTGGTTATATTCTCTGATTAAGGCATATAGTATTTGTAGTAATTCTATTTTTTTAATAGTTTATGTGATATATTATTTATCTATTACTGATGAGTATTTGTCAGATTTCTTGTGTTGGTTGATTATATGCAATTTAACTGAGCTATTATTGGATAATTAATGAGTGGTGTATGCTCTTGTGATGGGGCAGAGTGTAGGGAGAAATTGGGTTCATATGAAGGTGATTTTTTTTTTTTTTTTTTTTATATAGCTTATCAATCTTTGTTGGGTTATTTAAAGCCAAAGCATATTTCAGATTGTAGGATGTCGCTGAAAGTACCCTGTGTTCCCAAGGGGTCCCTTATCTAAATACTGCATAGGCTCAATGCTGTTTCAGTGATCAAACATGATTTGACCATAAGCACAAATCAAAAACAATTTTGGCCAATTAAATAATGCTACAGTACTATCTTAAAATGGCATACGGAAAACCATAAAAATACTTTTATACAAAAGAAAGTAAAGAATCGGCTTCATTTTATGTTGTCTGTTCAGACCAATTTCCTCATAGTTGTTTACTTTTTTCCAATAGTCTACTGCTTGGGCCTTCCTCAAGTATCTTTTGTGTTCTGCACTTGCAACCTATCATTGAGCTTTACATGCACTCTTATCTATAGGGTCCTGCCTGTGAAATCTCACTATTACTGTATACACTCTTGACTCCCTTGAAAATGTTTAATTTAAAAAGCGATGATTACAATTTTAATAAAATATGAAAGTGGATTTATACATTTTTGTTATTCTTAAGAATTGAAAACAAAAATTGTTTTCATAGTTATTTATAAAATGGTATAAAATAAATATTGTAGTTGATTTACCTATTTTGACAATTTTGTAATTTTTTTTATAAATTTTTGAATAAAAGGATTTTCAATTTTATTTCTTTATAAAACGATAAATAATAAATATCACATTGTGCTTTGTTCACATTTAATCTTGTAAATAAACATTAATGAGGGAGTCGGTGAATACAGTAATAGTGGTGTCAAGGGAATAACCATCCTTTTGCAGGTATGAAAGTTAAACATTGTCAGTGGGTCACTCATTGACTGAAGTGCGTAATGGGAAGGCCATCCACAATGGCTAAAAACAAGTCTCTAGCCAAAATTCGGTCAATTGATAAAGACTTGGATTTTAAGACCAACATGTTTCCAATGGGAAACAGAAATGGAATTGTAGCTATATTTTTTTTTTCTCATCTGCCTAAGATACAATAAAATTTATCAAAACAAAAGAATTGTCTCTTTGTTTCACTTGTTGACCAAAGAGCTGGCAAGGGGAAGCAACAGATGTAACCGACCCCACAAGAACATGATAAGAATTCCCCACTGATGGAAATTTTGGATGATGATTGAATTTAGCAATTTGAGCTAGATGACGCCTAGCCTCTGGGAACAGGTTTGATCAGGAAACAAAGAGAGAGGTAAAGGCCCAAGTAGAATTTCAAGGAAGGTGAGGCATTCACCTGCACTCCTTGGGTGGTGATGGTGAGAGGCACCCACATGAGATGAAAGGAGTTGGGTGGATTGATATTCTGCCACCACCACTCTTTGGGGGAGGGATCTCCCCAAATTTGGTCAGGCGATCAATTTCCCAAGAGCAGACAAAAAAAATGCTCTGTATTGGTTTTGGGGTTTCCCTGGGAACCCCCAACCACTTCTTACCCACTCTGGGTCCATAAATAAGGATGAGGGAAGAAAGAGACAGAGAAGAAAGAACCAGACAGTTTGGGGTGCTGTTTGCAAGAGAGGTGCATTGCCAGTCAGTTCAAGACCCGCTTTACCAAACCTCATACAACTTCTGCAGAAAGAACTTAGATGCCATCCTTGTTCCAAACTACTAGATGCAACTCAAAGGTTGGCCTGAAGAGATCACAGAGGAAGAAATCAGATTTTAGCCTTGTACCTGTTTACCGAGCATGGCTAAACATCGTGTCACGGGGTATTAAGGAGGAAAGTGTTGAAAATCTGCCTGTTGTTAATTTAGTGAGTAGAACGTTCATTGTATGATCCTTTGATATAAAGTTGTTATGTTATACAGCTGTCTCTCACCAAAGCTGCTGGATCAGTGACATTGGGTATACAACTCAGCCTTCACCCACCTTGTGATCTAAAACAAACAATGTGGGCAGGGTGGGATTGATGATCGGCAGCCAACTCCAAGGCTAGCCATAGGGATCAACCACAGACTTGCCCAGTGACTGGTGCCAGTGTGTAATGTCATATGGTCACATAACATAGTCAAGAGGAACAATCTTTCCAAATTGCTCCACAACTCATTTTTTGGTAATTCCTATCCTAAAGATTCTATGAAATTTTTTTTTTTTTCAAAAGTGTAATTTCTAGTTATGTTTAATTCAATCTGGGAATTATATCAAACACTATCTCATTGAAAATTTTAAGTGAAATGAATTGTGATTGTTATTGTTTTTGGAACTTTTATACTCAGTGTAAGAAAATCCTAATTCTTTTGGTTATTACTTCCCTGTATAGGATGTGCAGGTGGTGTAATTGCTATTGGTGTGGAAAAAGAAATCTGCAGACCCAGTTCTGGCTGAGACTGTTGCATCCATTTTGTGCTAATGTCCTTAGAAAATGCATGAACTTATGTCTTCTCCTATAGCTAGGAGTGTATAGCAGGGTAAAATGACCACTCTAGCCTTAATAAGATGACCAGTGTAGAAGAACAACTCTGAATTACAGTTGAAATGCCTAAATATAATTGTAAGTTCTGTGCTAACAGTTTATTCTATTGCACTTCTCACTTGTGGAACTCTCTTCTGGCTTCCCAGTCAACTTCAAAAATTTTAATGCAATGTCAATTATTATCTTCTGTCTTAATTCCCATTCATTTATTTTTCTCTCTCTCTCTCTCTCCCCCCTTAATAGTGTTGTTTTTTAGGGCTTTTTTTTTGTTTTTTTCCTCATATCCTCTCACACTCTGTAATCCCTTGTATCTTAATGGTCTTATTGTCTTGCTTGGTGCAAAATGACTAAAAAAAAGAAAATAAAAAAGAAGCACAAGAGAGCCATGACTGTCTACACCCTGAAAGGATATGACATTTAAAAAGGAATTAAAAAAAAAAAAAAAAAAAAAAGTACATTACTACAGTATAAGTGCTTCATATTTGTAGCTTTCTACCAGACCACGCTTAGTAAAACACTCATATTAATTCTTAAGTATTTATGACATTCTGATAATTTCTTTGTTTCCTATGAGAAATATCTGTAATTTAATTTTTTTTCTCTGTTTACTTGTTCGTTTTAAAGAAATATCGGGTCGCTAAAATTTTCAAGAAAAAAAAAAAGAAAAACCTTTATTTTTCAAGGAAGCTAACTGCAAAGAAATTGTCTTAAGTTATTTCCCTTGTATGAATTGGATCTAATTTATTGATAAATTTTATTAAGTGATAACCGTGGAATCAAACATGGCTTCAGGTTGAAAAATACATAACATCAGTTATTTGTTTTTCATCACTCTATCCAATAAACAGAATATTTGCATTGTAGAATAAATTAAAGGAAATAGAAAATAAATATTTAAATAAAACAAAAGAATTAAAATTAACGTCCCTAACTTGTAATGAAAACTTTAAAAAGAATAAAAATACAAATATTCCTGTGTGAGCCATTTTGTTTATCTTTTCAAAAATTACTTCTAACATACGCCAAAATCAATGCTCATATTAGAATCTTAAAATAAGTAATGAATCCTATATGATTGTTATTTTTTCTTTAAATTTCCCTTAGTCGTTAGGGATTAATGATGGTTAGTATTCAGAGAAATTTCAACAGGAAATGTTTTAAATATTTGGGTGTACCAAATTTTTCATTTTTATGGGCCTTTAACCATCTGCATATTACATTAATAGATAATGGAAAATGTGCCAGATCTGAAGGTGCCTAGAATTATTAAGATGCCTTCCAGAAACTAAGCAAACTATTGGAAAGTTTTGTTACAAAGAGAAGAGTTCTGAACTGCTATGTGATATCTAATTTCTTGTTGGATGAATATCATTGAAAAATAGATTAAAATGACAGACATGTACTACTGACAAATACTGAATACTATCAATAAAACATGTGAGCAATAAGGAAGTTTTTTAAGAAAAAAATAGGAACTCCAGAAAAAAAATAAAGTTGGAATTTCTATGACATAATGTGGAAAGAGAGCCTGGAAAGTTTAACACTCACAGGATAAACTAAAGGCAAGAGAAGTAAGAAAACCAGAAATGAATCTACTTAACAACTTTGTCTTGCCATCCATTTGCACTAAGACAGATGATAA